GAAATTAAAAACTAACTTCGCGGGTTACACACAATTCAAGATTGGCGATTCTTTGCAGGCCGTAAAATTTTTGCTTGTGGGCAGGTTACACACACCTGATATAGGTAATCAGCGTAGTGATGAAAGGCTTGTTCCAAACACTTAGCATAAAGCATCTTTACTAAGACAGTAAGATCAAGCCTCTGTATGAGTGGCGACCTGGATACCTATTCATTGTAGGGTGGTTCATGTAACTACTTGTTCGTTGCGGCTTATTCCACTAACAAGTGCATGCGTCTCGTATAAAGAAATACTAAGTAGTCCCATATCAGACCTGAACTCGTAAACGAACAAGAAGCCATACTTTGCCATGCCCCATGTTAGTTTGCTTGTATTTTTTAATTGTTCTTTTATAATAATGTTCCCTACAGAGATCACATGATATGCCTATGTCCAAAATATAGATATTAAGTAGCAAATTACGAACTAGTAATGTTCAAACACATACAAAAACAAATGAATGCTATTTGTAATAAAGATTTTTCAGATGAGAAAAATGTAATTAATGCATGGCATTTGTTAAAAAAAGCTGTAAGCGTCACATCTTTCCAAAAATTCAAAATATACAATTCATATGTCAAAAGAAACTACTTACAACTTTACAGGGTGTCCATAAAGTCCCTTAGCAATTTCAATTCTGTTATGAAGTCGTTTTTCAACATATGTTAACCAAGTTTGTTTTTTAATTAGTAATAGTTTAAGTGTTTACACTTCATACATCCGTGTGAAGGCCAAATCAATATATGGTATCGATAAATTCTCTTTGCAATTTGAAAAAATGTTAGGACTTTATGGACACTTTATATATTAATAGTGAAATAAAAATTACTTACAATAAAATGAGGCATACAATGATAATCAGTCCAGCAACAAGCAAGGTTGAGTTGGGTAATGAGTTCAGCAACTCCATGGTTATGTTTGTCTCTATTTGTAGGCCCACATTTTAGGATATATACTTGTCTATTACTTGCCTATATCTGAACACTATTTAGATATAATTTTTAGGACTTCATAAATGAAAGGCAAAGTACTTTGTTTCCACAAATAAAAAAAAGTGAGGGGAGCTATCTATGAAAAATACAATGTAAATAATTCAGCAGTGGTTTCAGTTTGCTGGTTTGGGTATAGTTAAACTCTATGTGTATTTGTATATCATTTTTGTATATTATTTTAAATATTATGACTAATAAAAGCGGTGCTTCAGAAGTACCAATATGTAGGTAACTAATCTTGTTCACCTATTTTACACCAAGTTGTGAAAGGGACTAAAACCTATGGACAGGGGGATGGATATTCACTTGGCTAACAAAGACGGTCCCCAAAATGGTAATAGAACTAAAATGAGAGAAAATCGGAATAAAATTATGGCCTAACCCTAACCTGGTACACATACTACGAGAGCACCATAAAGGCAAGGGAAAATTTGCACAGTGTTTTGATATAACAAAAGTTTTTGTCCTTGTTATATTTTTGCACATTGAGTCTTCTGGGTCGGTAATAACAGTTAACACTGATTTAATGTTCTGTGGATTTATGGCAAAAATTAGTTGGGTGAGCGAACGCGTAACACTTCTCCTAACAACACCTTTCAATCTAAAATCTGTGTGTTTCAAACCTTACTTAATCCATAAGCAGTTTTATTTCTTGTTCATCAATTATATTAACATCTATTATTCCGATGACAGGGTTATGGAGTCGAAATAACTTAAACCCATAATCTACTTTATTTTAATAAAGTAAGAAATTGTTTAGGTCATTGAAAACCCGAAAATCCTCTCAAAACATATTAGTAGAGTAGTAAGTCTCTGTAAATCAGCGGCTGCTTGTCGAGCAACTTGTTCAGAGCAAGAACAGAAGGATGTCTTCAAAAAATTTCAATTCATATGGCGCCTCTGTGTACAGCTATAATTACACTGAAAAAAATTATTTGCATAAAACAAAAGCAAGCAAACTCGGAATTCATATCAACTTTCTAAATACAGTTAGTAAGTATTAAGTATTACTTCGTCTTAATTCATTTCCAATTCAGATAAGACTTTCTTGTACACACAAATATTAGAATATCTGCTTGAGTAATACCACAATAAGTACAATAAGATATGCGAATACTTGAGTTGTCTTCATGGTTTTTCTTTTGTAATTAATTCACAAAAATATCTTCCTGCCATACCTGTTTAACACACAGCTCTCTGGAACCCTACTCATTTAAATTTGATAAATTGTGGCCGGCAATTTCCTATAGTGGTGGTAGCATAAAGGTCATATTGGGGATGGCAGAATAGGGATGGCAAAATACGGTCGAAAGGTGACAGATTAGGGATGGCAAAATAGGGTCGAAAAGTCAAATTGGGGATGGCGAAATGCGGTCGAAGCGTGGCAGATTAGGGATGGCGAAATGCGGTCGAATGATGGCAGATTAGGGATGGCAAAATGCGGTCGAAGCGTGGTGGCAGATTAGGGATGGCAAAATGCGGTCGAAGCGTAGTGGCAGATTAGGGATGGCAAAATGCGGTCGAATTGTGGTGGCAGATTAGGGATGGCGACTTTGAAAAAGTGAAGGGCATGGTGTCAGTGTTACCGTACCGGTACCGTACGAACATTTTAAGGTTCTTAAGTTTAGCATGTAGCCTGAATGTATCTGCATATGCCAGGATACGGTACGGTAATAGGTACCACCTACCGGTACCGTACGTACCGTAGTGAGTACCGGTACCGGTACGGTATGTGGCCCGTTACAGCATTAATCTGCCAAGGCTAATCCAGTCCCTGACGGCATGGGCAGCGTAGAGAATGGCAGTAGACAGAAAATAAGAGATTTAACATTCTTCTGGTCCAAATTAGGCTACTCTGGCAGTTGTTTTGGTGGTAATTACAAGGACAGTACGGTACCGGTACCAGATATGCCTTCGCGGTGGAATTATTGTGTGGCAAGATGTAGGCACGAACACGGTATGTCAGATTGGGACTGGTACCAGTAACATTGCAGCATTGTGTGGAGCAAGCGATAAACTAAAAAGTGAAACTGCTAAAGCCATTTGACTGTTTGAGTGAACTCCGCAGACCTAAGCAAACAGTTAATATGCATTCTAACTATTTGATATATTTAATTGCTGAATTGTCTAACTTCAAATTAGCAGTGGTGTGGCTCATCGTGCTAAGCCTGTTAGCGGAATAAGCTTGGGGTGACCGTACATAGCATACAGGTGCAATTGCCATGGGTTCAAATGTACGTGGGTTCAAATGTAATGGAACCATTTAATTGCTGAATTGTCTAACTTCAAATTAGCAGTGGTGTGGCTCACCGTGCTAAGCCTGTAAGCGGAATAAGCTTGGCATCGCACCTCTTATTAATTACACTATGTCAGTCTGTGTAGGTTCGCAGGTTTAAATGTGGAGATCGTTAGGAATACGCTCGTCACCCCATGGTTATGTGCGAGAGGATTACTGGACTCCTCGTGGCAGTTGGGTAGTTCACATAACCGCTGGTCGGTTACAGCTTCCTCCACCATCTGGTCCATTATCTCTCTCCTGGGATAGATATGTAGATCCTATCGTTAATTCGAGCGAGACACATGTCATGTTAATTAACTGTAGTAAAAGCCCCGAACTTCCAATTCCATTATAAAATTTGATCGTAAATGACATTAAGTCTATAATGACTACTTGAAACTCTGTCAACTATTTTGATATAATTTCAGATATGAAGATTAAGGTTATCTAGTCTTTAGGGATATTGCTGCAATGACTGAAGTGAGTCTATTTGTGCCAGAAAGGGGATCAAGAACTTTATAGTTTGCACTCTCAACAAGAGAGCGATGCTCAAATATATGGACACGCAGCCTGAGCGAAGCAGTAGTCCAGCTTACCTTTGACGGTTCGCTAAACACTAGAAGCACCAATGTTCGCTGACCTCGTGACTCGCTGCGCACGATGAACCGCCACATGGTGGCAATTTTTGATGAGGTCATAGCACAAAAGAAATGAATTCCATGCAGCTCTCAGAAATATTGGAAATATATGAAAGTAATAGCCTTCAGGCAAATCAATCTTAAACCATTGAAAATTTCAAAGCAATTCGTCCAGTAATCAACAAGAAAAGCAGTTTTTCAATATGTGTCAAAGAACAACAACATAATAACAAAACGATCCATAGGTCCACTACATGCCCACAAATGAATTGTGACATAGGAATTGATATAGTTTTATCTCCAAAACTATCTCTGTACTTCAAAACTGTGTTTCGAAGTTGATGACCGGCTCACATACTCTACTGTGTATTGGTTCAATCTGCAAATATTCTGAAACTTGAGAATGTTTATGGATTTGAAGTGCTGAAACTTACGTTTCAGTTCAGATTTGGTATCATTGCTGATCATTGCTTCGGACAACTCATTAAAAAGTGATAATAATCGTTCAGCTGACAGAGGTTCCTATTTTGTCATAGTTAACTTTACCCTGGTACAAAAATGTATTGAAGATACTTTCTAACACAATAGCTTCGTGTAGTATTTCACAGGTTCGTGGAATATGATTATGTTCAAATTTCATAAAGGAACCATTCTAATCTAGTAATATTTAATATTTATTCAGCATTTTAGCTTATAAGGCAAATGTTAAATAAGAAATTAGATACTTGTTATTTGTAAAGGGCATATAAAACATTAAACTTTAGTGTATGTTTGCTAATCCATATGTTAATAAGAGTTGTTCATTTGCCATAATTGCTTCTATTAAAATAATTTTCCTATTTTTGTTAATGTAACTTGGATCAATCATAAAAATCACTCTCATTTTTAATCTTGTTTTATAGTTTATTTATTGCTACTGTTTTTTATGCAAACTTTATTCCCATTGTTGCATCCAAGGTTATCCATCCAGCTAATCTAAACATTTTTATGACATATCAACTTTTTCATAGATTTCACCTAATAGCACATAAGACCGTCTGTTATCATTTTATTTACACAAACATTTGAAAGAGTGCATTCTCCTGGTCTGATCCTTTACTTCCACAAATATTTTATCATTTCGACTTGCTACTAGTATGCAATCTCACTTACTTTTGTGATTTCCATTTTCGTGTCTTGAAGACATTCTCATAAAATTCAGTTCCTAACCCTACCTAAAATCACTGAGATCACACAATCGCTGAGATTGAATACCTTTATATGTTTAATAGGTGCTCCCGTGTGTGCATCCCGTCCCAGCATGTGCACCAAGATGGCACACAGCCTGAACATAGTATGTGTACCAGGTTAGGGTTATCAGGTTGTACGCCATCTCAGTGCACATACTACGGAAGCGTCGTTTAATAACCTAATAGCTCTATTTGTGCTACTGTTCAAATTAATGCCACTGACTTCAACTTGTGTACACAAATTCCAAATATTTATTTTTTTCTTCTAATAACGTGCAACATACTAAATTGTATTTGTTTGAGATTACATTTTTCCAAGATACAGAATTATGTTTTAATTTGCTTTCAGTATTTTTTGCCAATTATTAACCCTTTCCGTGCGGTGGGCACGTATACGTACCCACGACAAAACTCGCTAGTTTGCGGCGGGTACGTTGATGTACTCCACTGTTTTATTTAGCAATCGGTCGCAAACTGTGGGTCTAGTTTTTCTGGGTTTTAGTTTATTGATAAGAAGTCTTCTTCGAGATTAACATAAGCGACGGTAAATCTCGCTTTCGTTTACCATGGGAATTTTATTTGCGGCGGAACGAGGGAGTGTTTTTGAAATTTATGCAAATTTCGGTGTTTTTTGGGTGGTAATAGAAGACATATTATCCCTTCCATCTACCAAAGTATTTTGAGTTAGACAACGAAATTGCTACAGCAATATTATGCTATTGTTTGCCAACCAAGAAGCGGTAACAGTAAAGGATTTAGCGAATATTTCTATTTTTTATCACGGTTTGAAGTTTCAACACCCAAGAAAAAAAAATGCCTTTTTTCTTTCCGGTTTGTGACTCAGACCACCCCTTTTGAAAAAAAAAACAATTTTCAATCGCCAATTGCAAGCTCTTTAAATAAGCTTTCCAACGAGCCGTCAGTGGGCAGCAGAGGATCATTACTTTTTCGTTAGTCGATCGATTAGTTGTGGGGGTACAAATGCATAAAGTCGGCGTAGCAAATACGATTATTTAATAAAAAATAAAAATCGCATGGAAAGGGTTAAACACTATTTATGGGGACTGTAGCATTTGTGTACACGATATTATATACTTTGTCTAGTCCTTGTTTGTTTTGAAGTCAATCAATAAGATCTGATTTTCATTCATAATCATAACCACTTTGTACTAATGCATTGTCTGCAATCCTAAAATAACGCGGCGGTGTGGCTCAACGGGCTAAGCGTTAGGAATACGCTCGCCACCGCACCTCTAATTACTCTGCGTGGGTTCGCAGGTTCGAATCCCATGCAGGGATGGTTATGTGCGAGAGGATTGCTGGACTCCTCGCCGTCGTTGGGTGGTTCACGTAACCGCTGGTCGGTTACGGCTTCCTCCACCACCAAGTCCATGCTTCCGAAAACAAACAATACAGTAAAAACTAATCCCATACCCGACTTGGAATGGTAACCGGACGAGAGGCCGTGGTTCGCCATATGGATAAGCCGTCTTATCGGCTTTCCTCTCCCCCGGGATAAATATGTAAATCCTATCCTATCCTATCTCTGCTACTACTCCATACTGTGTTATTTTGTTCTTGTTATAAGATAAACTTGTTATTTATGTGGGTGGGTGCATATGCTGTTATATATATTCTATAATGAACTTCCTGATTACTTTCTGTAGCAATAGTTTTCAGTGTGTAATCTTGAAATCTTGCAGTGAAAATATGTCTTCCCCCAGATAATGTCCTAGCATTTACTAAGTCCTTTGGTTAAGTTCATGTTTTAATATGCCAAACTATGCATGGAAACACATGTAATTGTGTGACAACATTTCGAATCAATATGATATACTGGTGTTATATGCTTTCATTATTATAAAATATTGTAAATTAATTTCTCAATAATGTAATAATTTTTTATTGGTTGGATATCCCAATTTTTGTGTTCACATTTTGAACCTTACTGTAAATGATGTAGGATTTCCCATTTTGCATTTATACCCGATATCTTTATAGCATCATGTCATCTCAAATTATGTGCTTCATGTTATCTCAAATGTCATCTCTTTATTTCGGTTCCATTACATTTGAAACCACGTACATTTGAACCCATGACAATTGCACCTGTATGCTATTGCACCTATGGAATTTTTTTTGTTTCACGGATAGTTGAACCCATACTAACCCTAACCCATGGGTTTTAGCACCCGCATATAGATTGAACCCGTGGATATACGCATGGGTTCAAATGTACATGGGTTCAAATGTACGGTCACCCTTTATTTCCGTTTACAACTTCTTTCTTGCGCGCATGTATGAATAAACATGCATGGTTCACTTCACATTTGCATGTTTTCTCATGAATGTCCTGCTTGTAATTTTCTTAAAAGCAGAATGAAAAACTATTGTAATTTATAATTTAACATTGGTGTTCTTTCTTCTATTTTTAATAATTCCCTGTAATCAGGGAAATGCTGATGCTGACACTATTGCTGATACTAAGCACTCCAATTAGCATTTAACCCTCACCCTCTATGCCTTCCAATGTCATATATTTCTTGTTGCTTGTGAACGGTATTTCTTCAAAAACGGGAATATTCAATTCATCACTTTCATTAGGTGCTGTATACATGATTCATTCTGGCCATTTGAAGGAATATACTCTCACTCTCATGTCAGTGCGCTTTCGTTTCTATAATATAAAGCTTGATTTTTCAATGATTTTTTTAAACCTACTTAGTGACAACAACTAGACCATTATACACCATTATACCACTTTTTAATGCCTTATACCTTACTTTGAGTCCTTCACCATTTACATATCTTAAGTAACCAATGCCATTACCTCAAATTTGAAAATACCATAAAACCCACGATCTCTGGTCGTTCTTAGAGCATCGATTCACGGGCTTGTCAAACTCTCTGGTCATTTAGTTCAGGGACATTTAATTCATCCCTACATATATACCGTTCAATATGTTTTCGATGTTAGTCTAGTCTTGGAAAGTTTTGAGATTGTTTTTATCGTGGAAAACTGAATAAAATGAAATAAAGAGGCCTCCTCATTCACTGTTTTTATCGTGGAAAACTGAAAATGAAATGAAGAGTTTCTAACGCCTCTTCAATCATGTAGTCGTTAGGGGGTTGTGATTAGAGTGGTAGTGACTTCAACATGGCAGAAAGCCAATCTAAAAATGCAATTCTCATACAGTGAAATCCCGTTTCAAAGCTCTTTTGAAACCACGGGAATATTTGCCGTAGCGTTGGAACATATTTCGGTAATTAGTATTACACAAATTACATAAAATCGAGTACAAGATATTACCTTAGTCCTTCAACTTCAAAGATTATGAGTCTCACGGAAAAATTGCGGCAGCGGGTTTCTCATCAATTAAATACCTACGAGTGGCCAATACCGAATAGTTCACTGTTTCGAATACATTTGAAGTTCAAAAAACGCTTATCTATAATTAGGGCTGGGCGAAATATTCGAATAGCGAATCGAATATTGAATTATTCGAATGGCATTTTACTATTCGAATATCGGGTACCACGTGATCTGCGTCGCTTCGCTTGGACACGGAACGTCTGTGAACCGATCGTGAATTGCGCGAGAATTCACCTACAAGCTCGCTCGCTAACAGACAAATTTGAAAAATCGTTTTTGCGTTGTGGTGTTATTTGTTTTCTTTGCGTTTTGATCGTTCATTTCAATTCCCTATGTTGCACAAAGAGGAACCGACACCGTTCCCTAAATTTAGAAACGTTAAATCAGATGAGGTATTTAAAATAAATATTCCAGATTTTAAACTCCGTATGATTGGCGGCACGTGATTAGCCGTTTCATGAATGAACCAAACATGAATTTGTTTAACGAAAATTAAAAGTTGAATTAACTTTTGCGTGAAACCATATATACATAGTATAACACGAACAAGCTATGACCAGAAAAGAAATGGCAGGACATAGTTCTTTTAATGTACTTTCAAATAATTCTTTGGTGATCCCTTTCATTCTTGACCAAATAATGTTTCGAAAGTGTAAACATTTCACTCGGGCATGCATGGCGGGTGGAGTGTAGAAATCGTGAACAGGAGTATGGCGTAAAATCAATCGTGAATTTCGATGTAACAACGCGCACTGTCTCGTTTACGAATTGTTGTATCGTCGGAAATGATTACATTCGTTATATTTTAAGCATTTTTGCACTAATAAATAGGGCGTGACATTGTCAAAATTGTCAAGAGAAGTAAAAGTGAATTCGCAAATTCCGTAAATAAAATTGTGAATTACTCGGTAACGATATTAGCTATAATGACCGCGCGGTTTGTTGAAAGAAAACGTCGGAACTTGGAAGAGTTAGTTATAAATAGCGCCTGGCCATCTGTTAGGCACAAAAGCGCAATTTTTCAGCATTAGGTCGCATATGCAAATTATTATTCAAGAAGCGCTGTTTATTAACGTCATCTCGTCATATGGCCACGCAGAAATGCCTTTATTGCCGAATTATTTAGTCACTATTTTAAATCAACATTCGGGATTGACGCAATCGCAGCTCTGCGAGGTTTATCTGTAAAGTAACATAGACACCATAGAAAAGCATAGCAAAGTTAATTACGGTATTGTCTTAATAAATATCTGCATCCCGGTATCGATAATAATATCACCGTTCGCTTAATATTGTGACGGTAAATTTACAAACGTTGATAAGTAATATGAAAGCTAACGCAAATGATAAAAAATTAGAATAACACAAAATCATCCTGGTAAAAAGTTCATACTTTCAAATACCAACCATTATTCAAATTATTTGCCAAAAAAGCGGGATAAAGTATAAATTATTTTTCCGACTTGGGACAATTTTTCCAAGAGTCTGAAAATACGAATCAAAAATTAATTATATTCGGGCGCTTTACCACAAATTTTAAGCCCACAAATTGCCGTTGTATTTTGGAGTAATAATACTTTTATTATTTTGTGAATACGAAAATACGAATCAGCAATTAATTATATTCGGGAACTTTACCTCACATATTAAGCCCACAAATTGCCGTTGTATTTTGGAGTAATAATGTTTTTATTATTTTGTAAATACGAATAAAAAATTAATTATATTCGGGCACTTTACCACACATTTTAAGTCCGTGTAGTGTATTTTTGAGTAATATTATTTTGTGAATACGAATCAGAAATTAATTATATTCGGGCACCTTGCCACACATTTTAAGTCCACAAATTCCAGTAGATTTTAGAGTAATAATACTTTTATTATTCAGTAAATCCGAAAATAGGAATCAAAAATGAATAATATCGGGCAGTTCACTACACATTTTATGCTCACAAATTGTCGTCGCAACCATAAGTTACGTTAAACAAAACTAAATTAATAATACATAATAATTTTATATGCTGGTATCGGTCATGGATATGAATAATTTGCACAACAGAAAATCATCCCAGTAAAAAGTCGAAACTTTCAAATATCATTATCAAAATTATTTGCCATAAAGCGGGAAAAAGTATTGATTATTTCCTCTAATAAATCGACTTGTTTTCCGACTTGCGACAATTTATTGGGTATCATAACAATTACGACATTGAATAATCTTCAATTTCTTGACGTAATGGAAATGAATGTGTAAAATCGTTTGAAGATTCCCGCAAAAACGAAAAACCGTGTTTACGATGAAAAGAGACTATATATTATTCCAAAATCAGCCGAAAATGTATTCGAATATTTGATTCGTTTTGGACAACCCTGTCTACGAACCACAGTCTTCTTTTCTACAATACAACAATAATTTTCGACCCAATTCTTTAAAAAGGTTCGCCATTCCTGCTAGACTAACCCATCAAATTGCGTGTTCCCTGACTACTACATAAAACATTAGCGTTTTCTGACCATCAAATGTTTAAGATTGTTTTGTAAAGTTCAAAAACAATTAGGTTGGAAATTTTCAGTTGCAGATTAGTAGTAATTTGACTCCAGTGTAAATGTCGAATATTCAGGGAAGTATTTCACTGGCTTTATTTCGCTAAATGTCCGTACAATTATAGAGACCCTGCTCAGCGCAGAATGTTTTCAAAACATTTCGCCTATAAGTTTTTGAAAGTATAATTTCATTTGATTTCAATTGAAAATCTAGAAAGGCTTTTTGTATCTTATACTCACCAGAACAAATATTACAACCATTAGATATGAATATTGAACGTATTACTAGCTCAAAATTAATCCCTCATCAAACGCATTTGAACGCGAAATAACGGTGCACGAAACTACGCCAGTTAAAAGCACCATTAAATATTAAACAATGCGGATATATATAGCACCAAGGTCTAACCCACCATATTCCAAACAGCACGAAAAATTCGTCGCAAATGCGTCTTTCATTGGAATTCAATTGCAACAGAGAACAAGACTTGCGTTACACGTAACACATTAATTTATAAGTTGCTCATTCGCTATCCAGTAAGACATGGGTTGGATTCTGTACCAAGTAATGGTAATTATGTTCCTCAAGAAGTAAAGCATGCAAGAAGATTCCTAAAAAGTCAAACTAGTCTTCGACATTTTCTTTCTGAAAAACGATAAAATGGATGAATTTGGTGGTTTCCAACATTTTGTGTTGAAATCTTCTATTAGTTGGTTTTTGAACTGTTTATACCAAAATCCCTATGTTTAATTACCTTGCCTTTTGTAGATTCTTTGCCAGCGTTATACAAAAGTCGCATTTTCATTTTTACGCAGTTCAAATAGTTTGTCGCGTTTTCATGAATAATATTATACAAAAGTGAGTAATACTACAACGTATATTCCTATTCAAAGACTCTCCTCTAGATAGGAATTCACCCAATATCATAAAAATCATTTTATAGCATAATATATCGAACACATCTTTACATCAAAAGTTTATATTCAAATTATAAAACCAATTAACTTCGAAAGAAATTTTGAGAATGGAAATTAACGAAACACGGAGAATGAGTAGAGACAATAATACCAGGGAAAAATTGAAATTTCCGTGACGAAAGAGATAAAACATATGACCTCATAAATGATGGCACGATCCACAATGCTATGCCAGCCAATGAAATAGCAGACCTCTTGAAATATGCGCAACAAGCTGGCGCACAACCTGAACTCAGGTTGTGTACCAGGTTAGGGTTCAGGTTGTGCGACATCTTGGTGCGCATACTTCAGGAGTACCCAAAACTTGATGAGAGAAACGTAATAATATATTAAACATTAAAAGATTGTATAAAATTTATTAATCAGAAGAATATAAAAAAAATGTTCAAGACTTGATGAGAAAAATGTAATAATATATAAAACATTAAAATTAATCATAAAATAAAGACACGATGTAAAATCGGACAATACCTTTTAAATGAATTTTAAAATGTGAAACACTGATCAGATTAGTTCCTTAAATTTGACAATGTTCGTTTCCAAATCTGACACGCATTTCGCCATCCTTAACATGACACCCGTCAACCCACTGCCCTATTTCGCCCTCCCTAATCTGACACGCATCGACCATATTTCATCATCTCTAACCTGACAGGAATCGACCCTATTTCGCCACCCCCAATTTGACACGCTTCGTCCGCATTTCGCCATTCCTAATCTGCCACGCTTCGACCGTATTTTGCCATCCCTAACCTGCCACGTTTCGACCGTATTTCGCCATCCCTAATCTGCCACCACGCTTCGACCGCATTTTGCCATCCCTAATCTGCCACGCTTCGACCGTATTTTGCCATCCCTAACCTGCCACGTTTCGACCGTATTTCGCCATCCCTAATCTGCCACCACGCTTCGACCGCATTTTGCCATCCCTAATCTGCCACGCTTCGACCGTATTTCGCCATCCCTAATCTGCCACCACGCTTCGACCGCATTTTGCCATCCCTAATCTGCCACCACGCTTCGACCGCATTTTGCCATCCCTAATCTGCCACGCTTCGACCGTATTTCGCCATCCCTAATCTGCCACGCTTCGACCCCATTTCGCCATCCCATTTTGACACTCATCGACTGTGTTTTCCCAGCCCGAATTTGACAGGTACTAATCCATTTCATCAGCCCCAAATCTAAACACTTTGGCCATATTTCTTTGTAATTTTGAAGCAATTGTTTATTGTTATCTGTATACTAAACAGCGCATTATGACAGTCGATTTGGCAAAAACTGACACTCATTGACCGCATTTTGCCATCCCTAATCTGCCACCACGCTTCGACCGCATTTTGCCATCCCTAATCTGCCACCATTCGACCGTATTTCGCCATCCCTAATCTGCCACGCTTCGACCGCATTTTGCCATCCCCAATTTGGCTTTTCGTCCCTATTTCGCCATCCCTAATCTGCCACCTTTCGACCGTATTTCGCCATCCCTATTTTGCCATCCCCAATATGACTTTTATGCTACCAACCCTCCTCGCAATTTCGGCCAGCCGACAAGCTGAAATTTTATCGGTTGCCTTTGGCCGTGCATACAGTTCCTCATTTATAGTCACGAGTCACGAGACATTTCTCCTAAGCATAACCGAAAGGCGGGCGATAAATTTCTTCGATGGTAAAGTCAGACGCCATTTGTTTGTTAAGCTTGTGCCAAAGCATAACCATGTATTGAAATGAATATCGCATTATCCGCATAATAATAAGCTAGCGTTCTTTGTGCATTTATTTTCGATATTTTCAATTTTTTTGTGATAGAAATAATTTATTCAGAATAGCATAATCTTTTTCCCCCGAATTAGCAAGTATATTTGTAAGCTTTCGCTAGTTCATAATTGTACTTCTTCAGACAAAACAAGATATCTTAATCAAACAGTGAATAAACATTATTATTGCTACTTCGTGAAAATAGATTATGGTATTCTTAATTATTTCTAAAATATTACCTCTTTCCAGCATCGTTGTGACAACAAACACATACGGCCCGAAGTATGAAGTAAACGAGGAGAAAGGACTTGCAGTTTTGTGCACAATACCCTAATAAATCTTATTTATAATATTTGTATTATTATTCCTGTCACTTAGTATCAGAAGACATTTAAATGAGGTTTATTCCACTATATAACATATACCTCATATATAGCGGATTACCTAACCTAAAACCCAGACTTAAGAAGCTGTGCGTGGTTTTTGCTGTTTAATTAAAATTTAAAACTGACGACGATCCTCTACCAAGACAAAGTGATCGTTGAATTCGGTGCTTTTTTCTTATATCTTTCTGCTACATGCCTACCATCGCCTCCCTAACCTTATATAAAAAACAATTCATAGACAATTTTCCTCATTTATTTTCAGTAATTTGAGTAAAAGCGATTAATGAGTATTAAAGATGAAAAACTTAGCCAATAAGAACAGCCAATAACAGAAAACGAGTCCAATATCAAAGTTTGAAAAATGAACCATTTTTAAATGCGGTTTTCGGGATAATTTGGGAGGAATATACCAATAGTTATAGAAGAGTTTGAATATCTTTGAGTAACACATGATTTGTCGAATAAAAATAATTCCAAAACTTTCATTAGCATTATCTATTAAACAATGATAAAAATTTGCCAATGTATCCTTAAACTGGGCCACTCTCGAGCAATACGTGAAATTACCAAACGTTTATCATAAGTCTTATACTTACAAGCGTACTTTTTTATCATTGATAATGTTCAATGTACATAATAGATAAGTTAGAATTAAGTTAAAAAGTTGAACTTTGGCAGGATTATTCGATTCTAAAATTTTTCAAAAATCAATTTTGACTGAGCACCTCTAGCAAAAATAATATGAGATACAGGATAAATAAGATTGGCAAAGCTCAATGAAAAATATAAATCAAAATAATTAGAAGTATTGACTAAATATCAATATTTTTATTCAGAATTTGCAAGTTCTGATCTCTTTGGAGAAATTTTGAGCAAAAAAAGCATATTTATCGAATTAAACACAAAATTGCTATAATACAAAATTACAAAGGCGAGCCAGTGTTGGGCACAAAAATGAAACAAAATTGCTCTTGGTGGCACTTTGATTTGGACCATGGCGATGAGAAGCCAATAACATGTTCTGAGTTGGAATATAAAACTTATGCTTTATAACAGGGGTTCCCAAAGTTGACCGACCGTGGGCCAAAATTAGAAGCTGAGGATTTTTGTGGGCCAGAAGGGGATAGCGCCCGCAAAGGCCTGATAGTGGTACTGTTATGTATAATTGAGATACCCAATTGTCAGGTACTAAACTGAATTTTTACCAATATACACATTCTTAAACTGTGATAAGGGCTTATAAATTGGCGGTATCTAGAATATAAAAAAAAAGTTAAACGTGTTAACGAAAAAAGTGCTGAACTATTTCACTTAAGTTCGGCGGGCCATATTAAATCGTTACACAGGCTGCAATTGGCCGGGGACCGCGGTTTGGGAACTACAGCTTCATAAGAAGTAGTATTAATGATACTCATGGATGGCACCAAACGAAATTGGGCCCAAGCAGAATAATCAGCAGTTTATTTTTCACCATACTGAAAGTACATATTGTATATAGAGAATGAAGTAGAAAATTGCCATTCCGGGTGATAAGAGATGCGATAAACCAGTACTGGTACCATTGTATCATCTAGCAACACCTGTAATAGAGTTTAACATTAAATTATGGGTGGAACAACCGGACATCACATAGCAATAAAATTTGGTGTATGATAATGTTTAAGCGACCGGGTGATTCCAGTATTGCTCGTTTAACTAGCCAAGCACTGGCGGAGCAGTCAAAAGTAGATTGCGACATCTTAAGAGTTCATAGAACTTACTCAGTTTATATTTGAAAAAGTACAGTAGCTAAAAACTAAAAAGTCACTTATTCAACAAATACATTTGAACGTTTGATTATATAAAAATAAAATTGAGAGATGAAACAATGCTTTCCAAACACTCGGTGTTATACAAATATAAACAATTTCAATTCACAAAAAAATAGGACCAAATTTATACAGATTATTTCATTTTTTGAGTACAAAAACTAATAAGAAAATAGCACAAACCACTTGAATTGAGCTGAAAATATGAGGATGAAAAAGATTTAAAAAATGTGATAATTAATGCTTTCAGTACACGCACAACTAGAATAGAGAGTATTGCTCGAAAATATAGTTTATACAATTTATCCAAACAAAATTACATATAAAACTGAGTTGAAAAATGACAAAGTTCAATAATGATGAAAAATAAACATAAAACATCCACATGCTTCTAGATCAGGGGTGGGTAATTACTTTCCTAAGTGGGCCACTCACAGATAATAGACTTGGTACTGGGCACAGAGGTTGAAAACACAATATGAAACTATAAATGAAAAACAGTTTATTTACAAACAACTGGCGACCATAACAATCGCCTGCTTGCTCGTTTCAACCACTGATGTAATGCAATAGGTATCTGTTACAGGAGAAAAAAAATTTCAGAAGGCACAAGTGAGCCGAACGAAACACTTTGGTGGGCAGTATCCGGCCTGCAAGCCGTAATTTTGCCCACCCTGTTCTAAATAGTCATGAGCCAACCCTAAACAAATCAATTTCAAATTTCCAGTGATTCAAAAAGAAAGAACTTGATGGGAGGCCAATACTTTGGTTATTTCATTTTTTCTGAGGTGTACGTACAGGGACCAATATTCAAGCTCAAATTTCATCATTATCTTTTCACAGGTACACTTACATAAGACATTCGGTACAGTTTCTGTCACATTTGGATGGAAATTTGCAGACATTGTGATGGAAATATTAGTCATTTGACCTGTGTTTCAATGTATTTGAGCATTGTAATTACTCCCATACCCAGATTATAATGACTTTGAAATTTCGGTGCTACTCTAGCCTGAGGTTCTACCAAACATAGCTAGAAATCTAGGGGAAGGTGAGCCACGTTGGGATATGGGACACAGTGGAAAATCAGCTCTCACACTCAAACTATATCCAGAATTAGGTTTGTGGTTTGATGTTTGAATCCACCTTTCGGTGAATTACAACGTCCCTGCGAACGGACAGTGATCGTGTAGAATGATGCAAGCAAGGAGTTGAAATTGGTTTTGAGGGTTGAAACTAAAATGTCGCCATTTCAGTCTTTCTCTTTCTTCTACATCGAGCTTTTCAACAGAACTTTTAGCTTTAGTTCACTGTAAAATATTAATAACATTAGTGACTAATGGCGAGTGGATGTGCCTTCCTAATCTTGACGACATATGATGGTATAGTAACCTCACTCTTAAGAAAATGATCCTACTCTAATTGGAAAAACTTTTTGCTGATTCAATAGATGAGGCTGAGGAAGAACAGCTGTTGTCAGCAATCACTTCCGAGCACTCGTCCTCTAGAGAGTCTGGATCAGAAAGAGAACTATTTCTGCTTCCATCTCTAATTTCGACTTCTTCTTGCACCTCTTCACTAACTCGTTGGTGATTGTTTTCCAATATACTCTGCTGCTCTTGGACTCCTGTTGGTATGTCTGAATCTGCTTCAGGAAGTTGGAGTTTTTCATCAACAGTACGACCACTTATTGATTGCCCATCTAGTTCATCTTTGGATGTTGGGTGTGCTAAACTTTGTGAGCTTCGTTCTGATGAAGCTATGGATGCTGAAGTAGCAGCAGCTTCAGGAAATAGACTTTTATTGGTGGGAGACTCATCTCTTTCTAAGACTTGAGCATTTGTATTTGGAGAAATGCTCGAAGATTCTTGGCTGTTAGACGCCATTTCGCCAAAAGACCAATCCAACTCTTCTAATGAAACTTCAGTTGAAGCATCTTCTGGTCGATTACTTTCTGCGAGTGAGTTGGGTGCATCTCCTGCCCTTGAAACTCTTGCCGGTGTGCTGTGAGCAGAAGGGCGTGGAGTTTCGTTCATAGACTCGAAGACACTATCTTGTCGATCAGGACTCTTGGGAGATGTTTCAACAGACTCTTCCTCAATGAAACTTTCCAAGCCTGAATCTTGCCTTCTAGCTGAACTTCGACCTTCCCTGAAACTTTCAGAAAAAGTTCTAGCCGAAACAGGTGGAGATCCATACCCAGATGATGCATCACTTACATTGGACATCTGATGCTGAACACTTTGTTGCTGTCCAGTTGCACAAGCACCTTCTGGAAGCGAATTGAAGCTGATGCCAGTAGCTCTATCCCCAAGCACATTTATAGTGTGAGGCATAGTAGTGGGAATTTTGGCCCAATGCAGTAAAAAGTGATTTTCTTTGATTTTAATACGAGGACCATTACGGTTGTGAATCCCGAAGATTTTGTATTTGACTTGGAGATGCACATCTTCTCTTCCCGATCTATTTTCTAGTTCGAATTGACTTGTTTCATCAACTCTACTTCCCCACATATTGGTCAGGGAATAATCTTTGTGATTTTCATTACTTGTTTTTATGTCGCCATTTTCTATCCTCATTTGTAATGTATGGTCATATCTGGAAGAACAAAAAAGAAGATATTATATGATTATGAAATTTAGCCATTAACACTAGTGCCTTGAAATTGTGCAATTCTCAAAAAATTTGCACAAACTGTTATTTGTTCGGAAAAATAGCCTGGTGGAAACGCAACATAAGACACAATTTTCCCAAAAAAATTCCCCAGGTTTAGAGTAAAACAACGAGCCTGTGTCGCAGATTTCACATCTCGGATTCAAATCATATGCCTCCAACCCACTCCGGGTATAATTAATTGGGTAGAGAATGCCGCACCAGATATTTCCGTTTTTTTAAATAACAGTAGATCCTTACATATCATTAGATATCAGCGGTTGCCTTTATTTGTTCAAAGCAGAAGGCGTGAATGAGCATTGTATAAAAAAGACTTCTGAAATATGAAAGAAACTTGAAGAGACCAATGAAAAGGATGTGAAAATGATAGAAATAATAGTCTTTCAGAATACACTTTATATGTAATAATTGAATCGCACCTCAACTTGTGTCCAACAATAAATGTTTAATCTTAGTCAATAAAGATTTGTAACTTACGGCACAACAAAGCTCTCTGGATCAATTACAACTTTTTTATCCTTCAAATATGTGCACTTTTGTTCAAAAAGCAGTGGACAATCTTGAAAAAGTTTCCAGTGAAATATTCGAGTGGCTGTTGCTGGTTCACGAACATAGCCAGCAAAAAAATAGTAACGACTCATGTCATGAAAATCCTTTTGTTCAGCCGAGACACAGTGCCTGAAATTTAATATAATGGTAGAGTTACAGTGTGTTAATGCTAGAAATCACCAAGGTGTCATGAAGCTCTTCATATATTTTAATCATATCAACATATCATTGAAGTTTTTTCTGTTCAAATTTAATAACTATCCTTTCAGATAGGTTACACAATAGAAACAAACTTATTCAAACAGACTCAATAGACTCTCTTAACTTCTAGCGCTTGAAAAAGTAACTCAAGTCGAATCAATGAATTGTGTTAACCCAACACTAGAACAAATTATTTGGCATCACAAGAAATTTTTGTTGTAAAATATAATGGTACTTTCTACTAACAGTAATTATCAATTCATTTGAAACTTTTCTATTTATAATTTTTTTACTCACCCACAGAAGTGTCGTGCAGTAAACGAAATAAATTTTTCATGGTACAAATTCGACTTTTGAATACAACGCAAGGGCATAGAACGATTTTCTCTCCACAGGATCTAAATGTAAAGTAAAATTATTTTTTACATACTTAAATCAAATTACAACTACGATAAATTAATGCAAAATAGCATAATGATAAGCATTAAGAATAAGCTTGCCATCTCACCTCTAATTACCAGTGCATGCTAGAATACTGTGAGAGGATAATTATGTGCGAGAAGGTGGCTAGTCAGTTACAGCCTCCTTCCGCCATCAAGTCTATGCATCTCAAACAAACAGCTTGGTGACTATTCTCAAACGGACGAGGGTCAGTCCCTCATCATATGCTTTAGCTGTCTTACCAACTTTCCTCTCTCCCGGGATAAATATGAAAATCCTATCCTACCACTTGTGATAGTTTACTTTTACCATCTGTGCATATGTGCCTTTTAGGACATTTATTTCAGAGGAGAGAAAAGCCAATAAGGCTGCTTAATCATATGTCGAACCACAGCCTCTTGCCTGGTTATAAAGTTATGACAGGTATGGACCAGCAGTTATGTGAAATACCCTGCAACAAAAACAGCAATTATCTTGCAGATAATATTTTCTCACAGGATTCGAACCTGTGCTGTGTAGGGTAATCAGAGGTGGCAAACTCACTAAAAATTGATTCCAAATATTAGCCTTACATACTTTAACCGGTATTTTCTTTTTTCCGGTGCAAGTATATCCTGTTCGAAGAGATATTTTGATGTCTTCTGCAAATTCTATTTTTTTGTCTGTTTTGAAGTCAACATATGGTGTGATGAGAACTTCTTTTTCGGAAGGAGACTGATTATGAAAGTATAAGCAGGTTAACATTGTGTATTTGATGGTGAATGAGAAATACTTTTAAGCTTTCAACATAGTTTTTTATACAACATTTTCAGGCGCTCCAAAAGTGTGCATACCAATATAGAGGCAGTAACGCAGTATCCTAAGGAAGAAATGCCCTGGTATACTATGGGAGCACTTATTTTCATGTCTTTCACTCCAAACAAAACTCTGTACAGGCAGTCTCTTATATGAAAAAAGATACTATTTTTTTAACAGACCAAAAATTTTCTGGTTCTACAATTGCCTATCAAATTTATTAAACTCTAGGTGATCGAGTTGGTGTGTATGGGCGTAACAGATTTTAGGGGTCGCACAGAGTGCACCAATTCCACACAATTACTGTTTAGAGTTATTGAATTGAATATATTAAAAAGTGTAGCCAGCTCAAAAGTTTGGGGAAGTCATGATATAAATCAACATGAGTTTGCAAAATGGATTAACCACACTTATCACACATCTCTCATGGGATTTAAAATTGTGGCTCTTGTTCTGAACAACTGAGTTTGCCAATGCTGTGAGATTTTAAATTCTCATTCGTAAACATATCTGCAATTATTCATTTACCATGTTGAGTGTGTTATGATAATTTGAGGTAACACAGTATTTCTCGGTTGTGATTAGAAATGATATCAGGACAACAAATTTTTGTTTCACTTTGGACAAGATTATTATATTTTAAACTCTGCAATGATGCAAAAATTTGCCCCAAAAAAGCTGAAAAAAGCAGGACAGAAATATAGAAAAGCTTCCAAAATTTTTAAGAAGGTTTAAACTAACAGCATAAAAGTATTGCATATGTAATCTCAGAGCTTCCGAAGTATGTTCACCAAGATGGCGCACAACCTGAACATAGTATGTGTATCAGGTTAGGGTTCAGGTTGTGCACCATCTTGGTGCACTCACTTCGGGAGGGTCGTATCTCACCTTCCTTGTGACATGGAATATATGTAAAAAAAATATATTGAAACTTTGTCCAAACAGGATGAGATATTTTCCAATTTGTGTGTTGGTATTTTAACCTAATGTCCCTTTACTGATATATCAAACATGCGATACATATTAGTGAATATCATTTAATAAGAACCACTCACATGCATCTTGTAATTGGGTTCCATTGTAACCTTCAATGGCTCATCAACAGCACCTGGTGGAAATTCAAGATGGCAATACGGTGCTTTTACTCTGCGGCCTTTTCTTCCAACAACAAATTCCCACGGTTTTATCACTTCATCTGTTTTGCATTCAATATCTTCTGGCTCAGCTATTCCTAGATCAGATGAAGCTTCAACTACCATTTTCCCAACCTGAAATTAATCAAAATTTGAATATTTAATATGAAATTATTAGGGCCAGAACAAGGGTGGGCAAGCTTTTTGGGCCAGGGGCCCATCTGAAAACAATGAGCATCCTGCCAAAACTAAATTTAATCACAATCTCAACAAATTCTTCAAGTTATTCTTTAGTTAAAACACCAAAATTTGGTTTTAGTTTGGTTGTGGCGGCTTCAGGCGGGCAAGATTGAATTACTCAACGGGCCGGATTTGGCTTGCGGGCCGTAGTTTTCCGATAACAGACTAGAACATTTTTTCACAAACACTTTTTCTTTGGAACCCTGGTATTTTACTAAAATTGACATTTTTTTCTAATCATTTCAAGTCTTATCAATATTTTTAATATTTAAAATTAGGGCTCCACCACACTATAAACATTCCAAACTATTTGTTGAATCAATTTTGACAGTTTTGACTTGGCAATTTGAAAAAGAAGTACAGAATGCAAAAAATAAAAATTAATAAACTAGTTAGCACTCATGGAATTTCTTCAGGTTTATTTTAGGAACTCCAAAATTTTGTGAAATCCAATTTGGCAATCGGTGTGCTAGAATGGAGGCGCCCCGGTAGCATGTGCACCAAGATGGCGGACACCGGCATGTAGTATATGTGCCAGGTTAGGTATAGGCCATAATTTTATTCCAATTTTCCATATTTTAGTTCTATTATGAGTTCAGAGACTAGCAGATTGACTCCCGTAGTCTTTGAACCTGAAATTATGGCCTAACCCTAACCTGGTATACATACTACATTCCGGTGTCATGCCAGGTCACACTTTGTCACAACTATGAGATCTCAAGTTTGAAAGTTTGATTATAATGAAATTCTGAGCTGTATAATCCATTAATAATAAACACTTGCTAAATATTTGCTTCATTAGAAAGATTTTAAAGATTAACCTGTGTTGGGGATTTGTCTTGCTGCTCAGAAGACTTTGAAGTGAGCATATCTGTCTCAACTTTGGCAGATTCAATACAGATTTGCTTGTCAGAATCAGGTGGTGTCATTGCCTGTAAAATTATTAAAAAATCTGTAAAATAAATGTCTTTTTGACGTTTAATAAAAACTTGACTCCAGGATATTTACAGATTTAAAATTAGGTATGTTCGATATGATAATTCAAAAACATTATGTTACACAAATTGCATATAACTTCACTGACACTTAAAAAAAAAACGGAAAATAAGGAATATGTGAATAACACCTGTAACAATGGCAATTGGTAAAAGACTTGAAACGAAAGCTTCAAACTGTAGTTCGGTTAATTGATTTTCGAAACTTTTCTCAAATTATATCTTAACTAATGAGGCATAAGTATAAAAGTTAAACCATTTTTTATGATACAATTAATAGGACCTTATATACAAATTAATAAAATTTTGTAGTATTTTTGAATTTATATAAAATAGTGAAATAGATTTTTATTTTCAAAGTGTGTTATGTATCACAGGCAATGTATGCTATAGCCCGTAAAGAAGTTGAGAATACAGTTTCCTATCAGGGACTTTTCCCAGGAGTATTGTTTAAACATAGGCATACAAAAGTTGTGTCATATTACACTGTGACTAGTTAATATTTGAACAAAGTCAGGTGATCTGATATGGTCTGTTGTACAAAGCAAATTGAACAGACATGGCACGACAATAACTCCCGCTGTTTATATATATACCATACATGAACCAGTGTATTTAATTCAAACTAGACAGAATTTCGTAACACAAAGGATTTAAAATGTATTCTAAATGTGTATTCATGATTATACAACCATAAAGGTTAACAAAGTACATATAATTCTGGATACATTTCAAAATAGTATTTTTAAAATGAAATTTAGGATCATTTAACAGATGACATACATCATTCCCTTATATATTAACAACGATATAATTTTATAGTCTATTTATGTTCGGTTCTTCTATATTCTATGTCACAAGTGAGATTGCCTAGGTTATTTTTCATGTTTTTAACTTCTTTTGATGTTTTATCAACTTTCATGAATTTCTGTCCTGTCTTGTGTATGGTAATTTTCCTACCAATGTGGAATTAAAACTCAATTTGATAGAAGCTGAATAGTTGAGATAAACACCCTTTATCTTAATATTTTATTTTTATAGCATATAGACGTTAAAGTACATGTTATGCCAGCCAAATGCCTATAATTATAAAGTGTCAAATCATATATTTATCATATCAAATTTTTGAATGAACATTCAACTTTGTAGAATGCTGGCTCTAAACAACATGCATATGCAGTAGTAAAACACTGAAGCCCATTTTATGACTGAAGTCCAGATGTCGACGTCTCTTATTATAAGGGGCATATGGAAATACTCTGAATTTTTTCTCAACACCATATATTTACTATAAAGAATGGTCCCCCCTGTAGTGTGTGTAACAGGTTAGGCAATAGTTTTATTCCGATTCTCCTTATTTTTAGTTCTATTACGAGTTCAGGGACTGTCTGTGTTAGCCGAATGAATATACACACTTTACGCATCTTGATGTAAAGTGGGCGACCAAAATTAATACCGCCATATTGATTCACACACTTCTGCAGCGCCGGGGGAATATCACCAATTTCAAACATTCGACTTGTTTTGAATAACCCTGTCTGTGAACACTGCACAAATGATCCAATGCAGTGGTGAAATAATGGCTTTCCTTATGTGTCAATAAAATTCGTTTTGTTAGGAAAAATTATCAAATACTTCTTACCTTTAGCGGTGAGTACTGGGTTAATTCGGGTTTTTTCTTTTTATCTTCTACACGAGATGAAGTACTGAAAACTCGATCCTATGAAATGAAAAAAAGGTTCAGTAAGTCAAGTCATATTCACTATATAATCTTATGAACAAATGATACAAAGGAAAATGTATGCTGATACAACACAATTTTAAATAATTAGAGCATTTTTGTACAATTTTTTACAAGCTTTTTACTTTGAAAAAGGCTCTTTACAAGCATACATTGGAATGTAAGTTGCTGTTATATTTTTGGATGGGTTAAAATTTCTCGGATTGGGCATTGCCTACACAAGTTATTACACTCAGAGTAATGTGGTAGACATAGCGTTTGAAAATAAGATTTTTACCCTACAATCCCAAAAAATAGGTCCTACATTTTAACCCATTGGCCATCACGCATATCCTGGCACACAATAGAATTATAATTTGTCTTCTATCTTAATCACTAAGTTTGTATGATAATGATATGATACGCCATGAATAAGAGGGATTTGGCATTTGAATCCGAAAATACAAAAAATCTGATATGCCTACTATCTTTATTTATAGGCTTGTTGTATGATACTATGGCACTTTTTACCGAATTTATTACACCCTGAATAAGGTACTGGGTTTGGGATTTGAAATCCAAATTTTATAATGGGATGCCAATTATAGGTAGCTCCAAAGCTTCAGTAATCATTAGTCTACCATGTGCTTCCTTGCACAATATTCGGTGCAAACCAAGATGGCGAACACCAGAACGTAGTATGTGTACCAGGTTACGGTTAGGCGATAATTTTATTCCAATTTTCCTTATTTTAGTTCTGTTACGAGTTCGGGGACTCCCTAGACCGTAGTATTTGATCCTAAAATTATGGCCCAACCCTAACCTGGTACACATACTACGTTCCGGTGTTCGCCATCTTGGTTCACATACTACGAGAGTACCCAATATTCTTCTATTTTTAATAATTCTACTTGTCTGGTACTTTAAACAATTTATAATTCAACCTTATTTGGTTCTTCTTCTGAAGGTTCTGAAATTGTTCCTTTATGTCGTCTTCGTAGTCCTGATGTTCTTTCGTTTTGACATTTTGCCTTTGTGCTGACCTGTCAAAAAAATTAAAAATTAGTAATCTCAGGTGATTGCATTTAAACTTGCCCACAATCAACAAAAGAAACAAAGCCTTAAACAAAAAATCACTGATAATTTGTTTTTGTTTATGTATCAATTATTATCACCTTTCACTCTAAACAGGGTAAACAAGTTTCTATACCAGGGTTGGGCAAACTACGGCCGGCGGGAAACATCTGGCACGATCATAGTATAATTTTTATAGTTTCTGCAGATCATAGTATAATTTTTTCAGACAAAGTGGGTCTTCATAAAACCCTTAACCATGAACCTTTCAACCCGAAAGGCGAAACTTGGAAAAAATTGGGTACACACGTTGTGTGTGTACCAGGTTAGGGTTACGCCATAATTTTATTCCGATTTTCCTTATTTGAGTTCTATTGCGAGTTTGGGGACTGTCTGTGTTAGCCAAGTGAATATATCCCCATAGGTTTCAGTCCTTTTAATAACTTGATGTAAAGTAGGCGAACAAAAATAGGTACCGGTACCTCCATATTGGTACCGTACACGCACTTTCTGACCGCGAAAAATTATTTTGCGGGAAAATGAGGAAAAAATATATACTCTAACTTTTTATTAAGGATGTCACTTCACTGGTGAATATCGTTTCAAATTTCAATTAGAAACACAGTTTAAAAGCACTCATTTATTTATTTTCAACATTTGACTCTTTGTCCTGAAACCTTTGTTCTATTTTATCTTATTTTTAACAGATTTTACCTTAAATGGGGTTTCTTCAATTTCTTCTGAATCTTTGTCATCTTCATCTATCTTTGAGGACTTTTCTTGGTTATCATCTGCTTATTAATAAAGAAATGAATTATTTATTATGTTATTAATTCTATTAAACATTTTTCTCTCAGGTAGCTCAGGTGTGGTTGCAAGTTAGAATCCTGTGGAGATGAATATATGCCGAAAGACTATTAAATTTCCAAATGGCATGAAATAGTTCATATGGCTATTGGTTGGCTATTTTGCTAGCTATATTCAAGTATCTACAACTTTTAATATATATAGTGTCCATAAAGCCCTAACATTTTTTTTTAATTGCAAAGAGATTATATCAATACTATATATTGGCTATCACAGATGTATTAAATGAAGTACAAATACTTAAACAATTACTGAATAAAAAACAACAAACCTGGTTAAGATATATTGGGAACTGACTTCATAACAAAATTGAAATTGTAAAGGGACCTTATGGACACACAGTATAGTGTTAGTTATTCTCATATACATTTTGAATTGACAGCTTAGTCTGCCGCTTATTTAAACTTTTCTCCTAAAATATGTACAATATAATATAACTTCATAAGCATAAATCTTAAATGATTAACAAACAGGTCAGTTATTCCCATAACGAGTCTCAACAGAATAGGACTTTATGGCACACAATATGGTAAACTGTCTGATCGAACATTGGCTATCCTCACACATGTTAATATAAAATACCAAATTTTTATGCCTGCAACTAGATAATCTATGTTAAATAAAATGTGCAGCCTGCGGTTTCACCCAGTTATTTCTATCTGGCCCTCCTGTATTATAGGTTGCACAGTGCACACCCCTGCTATAAAGTGGCAGACACCGTGATATTGGTATCATGTGTAAATAATTCCCCCTTGTGATTTATTTAGAATTGTAGTGAAGTTAAACCAGATGCAAAATATTCCTTCCCCATCTCAAAATTTGTTATGAATGGTTTACAAAATGAAATTTTTTGATTGTACCTGGATCATTATTTTGTCCATCTTGAATGAGAGTACTTGAAGATGGGTGTTGATTCACAATGACATTCCCATGCACATCTCCGATCTAAAATCAATACAAAAACTCAGTTTTATCATGCTAAGATGTAACTATCACTTCACAATCCTTAATGATATAATTTACATACTATAGTTATATGCACTCAGTGGTGCTTACACATATAGTCAATTTTTGATAATTCTGGTGTCCATGACCTTTCATTAGGTTGTATATAAAATAGTAATACATCATCTGTATGTAAAACCCTGATTGTCAATTCTAGAGATGTAAGAATGGAATTGGTGTCAAATCAGTTTTATGAAAAAATTTGTGCTAAAATGTACATACAATTCTCAATAATATAATGTTTATAGCTATTTCCACTTCAAAGGCTGCTCACACCTATAGTTAATTTTTGATAATTTCTGTATCTATGGCCTTTCATTGAATTATATATATAATAGTAATACAGTATTTGTGAATAAGATAAATAAAACAACAATTGTCAACAATTCTCAGACATAGCAACATCCACTTCTATAGATGTAAGAATGCGGAATGGTATAGATGTCCAGTCAGTTTTATAATAAAATTTCTGCTGAAATATAACTACAATTCCTAAAAATATAATTTGTACAGATATTTTCACTTCAGTGGTCGTTCACACATATACTTAATATAGTATGTATAAATAAATGAAATATAAATCCAATTGTGACCCAATTTTGAACCTAGCAATATTTATTTACAAAGAGAGAATGGTATTGGCTATAAAAGCACATCATTGCCCTGGTCCCACTGATAAAGCTGTAAAACAAACTGAAAAGCTATTCCTATTATTCCTATGTTACTATATTTTTACTTACATTTACTGGGGCATGTCCCACCAAGTTTTGATGCCTCTCACGATATAGCAAGCTGAAAAATATAAGTTGAACAAGTTAATTGCAAACAAATTCTTGATAAACAAAATGTTACTTAATTTTGAGGCTGCAGAGGGGAAGAGGGTATTAGAATGTTTAACTCTTTTTCACTTAACAAGTTGAAATTCTTGAGTTTACTTAAACACCATGACCACCAACTCATCCAGTATGTAATGAATTGAATAGTGCATTGCCAAAACAAAAAATTATGGCGCTTAAACAGTCAAATTATAATTGTAAAAATCGTAACACTTTTGTTAAAACTGTCTTAACATGTAGGTTAAGCCACCTCCTCCAGACTGCAATGAATTGAATATTTCATTTGCCAAAACTAGAGATTTGATCTTTAGAACATATCAGCGTAAATTGATTAATTTACCTATCAAACAAATTATTGTGCTCAAAAAATACAAGGTCCATACAAATCAGCATATTCAGATATTGATAGATGCTTGTCTATAGCCTTTTCAAAGCAACATTTAAAAAGTTCTCATAAAATGACAACACATATTAACTAATACTTACAATAATAGTAAAAATACTACAGCAAGTACTGCTATAACTTCAATAGCTAGAGTCATTTTGAATCTGTTTGGAATATTGCATTACATATTCTTCATCAACACTGTAACTGTAACATGGTTGCAATTATGAAAGATCTATCTATTCAGCCTTTATTTTAGAATCTCCATCAAACACACAAATTAAAAATATGGAATTCTGGAAAGAGAGCAAAATCTTTAAAGAAAATTAAAGCATAATGAATATCATATGCTCACCTTACTATGTAAAATTTGTTATTAACCAAAATTCTGAACCACTCAATACAATCACAATTTTACTATGAGAATCACAAGTGTGATAAGTCTGTAAGTTAAATTAACCTAATACCCCACTTCACTGTGTTTATCCTATGTTGTTTAAAACTTTTACTAACCTAACTCAAGACAAATGGGCAAACTGTCTGTAGTTTTAATTGGTAATTCAATCTGGCCAGTCTGATGCTGCCACAACCAAACTAAAACAAAATTAAATGGTTCAAGTCAAAAAATGTTGAGATTGCAATTAAATTTTGTTTTGGCAAGTGGCTCATTGTTTTCTACTTCTGCTTTTGTAACACTGTAACTATTGTTCATAAAATGTAACTCTTTACGTCACACTTACATGGCCACCAGTGTCTGAGTGTAGGTAGACAACAATTCTGGCCCCTGATTCAAAAACCTTGTCCATCCCTGCTCAAGACCTTATGTATGATATACACTTTATACAGAAACAAAGAAAACAGAGCACAAAAATGTGGTAGGCAAATGGCATGATAAAATCCACTTTTCCGTTAACAAAATCAAATCCAATTGGCATATTGTAACTGCAATGTTACGAGGGAAAATCTGTGTTCTCGATCTCCGCCTTAAACATCTCACGCTGAGGTGTAACAAATTTTAATTGGATAATGCTAATCCTGATACATTTTTGCTGATTCCACAATCAGGTTTTATTTAATTGTTTTCATCAATCATGTAATCGCCTCTTATGCTGATTATGCTGTCGAAATAAACGTATCTAACTTATCTTATCTATATTTCTGCCATTATAAAACATAGTTGCTGACTTAGTAGATAGATATCTGTTCACGCAAACGCGCCAATAAAGCCAAAGCGGCTATAGTAGGAACACAGCGCTATATTGAGCGTGAAAGAATAATATGATACGTTAAGGTCACAAATGCCGCCGTAGCTTTCGAGAGTTACTAGGGGAAAAGGGTTAACGCGAGTTATTACAACCAGCTACACTTATAGGCATTTCCTGAAGTCTGCTATACGACAGACTGATCTTTTATTCGGCCGTTCGTGTGAGAGTATGACGGGTTCGTATGAGGTGAAAACGGTCATTGTAGGCATAGAAACGTTTGGACATAAACATGTAATTCAAAATTCCCTGATTTAATCAGTTTTATCTGTGTTATTCTCGAGTTTTTTATCGCCTAATATGCTTATTATGGAATGCAAGTGAAACTTAAAAACTTGTATGAATGTATGTATGTTTATTTGCCTTAAAAAAGGTAACACCATTCGCTTAATAGGATAGGATAGGATTTACATATTTATCCCGGGGGAGAGGAAAGCCGATAAGACGGCTTATTCATATGGCGAACCACGGCCTCTCGTCCGGTTACGTGAACCACCCAACGACGGCGAGGAGTCCAGCAATCCTCTCGCACATAACCATCCCTGCATGGAATTCGAACCTGCGAACCCACGCAGAGTAATTAGAGGTGCGGTGGCGAGCGTATTCCTAACGCTTAGCCCGTTGAGCCACACCGCCGCGCCAACGGTTTAAACGGTATAACAGAGACGGAATACATGTTTAAAACTTATAACTTTTAATTACAATGGTGGCTGCAAAATCATATTTGGTGTAATTGAAATTTCCGTTTCTCTGTGCTGGCCTACATGCTCGGCGCTTTTTGGCAATCTCTGCTGCAATATTCGTAACAAAAATGGTGCAATATCGATGCTTTTAGGTTGGTTACGAGAAAATACTCTTCTGTGGCCGATCTTGTATTCATTTTCATCAATTATATACTTCGGCAAGCATCACGTTCTAGTAAATTTCAATCTTCAGAAATATAATTTGAATAATCACTTATCTCAAAAGCCAAGTAAAATTTACAATTTTGTTCAGCAGTCGCCGGGTAATTGTTTGTCCCGCGCATGGTCGATTTTACAATTTTCAAAAAATTTATTTTCCATTGCGCTACAACATCGAGCATTCGAGTAAAGAAAACTAGAATTATATCAATTTGAAATAGTAGTTTTGTCTAGATTAAATCACTTAGCAAGGAGGAGCAGGGACCGTCCAACCGTTTGCCAAAAGGACAAATTCTTTGGGCATGTTTATCTTACACTAGGCCCAAACCTGCAAATCATCAGAGATGGGACTGTACGATGCGATAACCATGAATTCTATCTTGATATGGTGGTTATATCCAAAAAAGTAAGTATTGCAGTAATTTTCAAAAGTCAATGTAAGCATAATTTCAGAAACCTGAATATAATAAAACATTGAAATTGCTCATGTTTGCGTATTGGACTCATTGGTATATTTAAAACCATCTATCTGCAATAACAAACAGTGGCCATCAGGCTTAGACAAATAGTAATATATACCGAATTTCGTAAAAACAAAATGCTTGAACGAAACAAAATGCTTAGTGTGAATCGTTCGTTAATAGAAAAGACAAGCCCCGAATTACTTGTAAATTAACATTATATAAGCTGGTTAATAGGCAGAGTGGAAAAAACTACACCAACTTCAGTTATACATCTACAACTTTATAACAACTTAGATTTATACCAATACTGGATTGTAACATAGGATTACGTGATTACATATTCCCTGATGTATGTAACTACGTGATCTATATTACCACGACACTCTTCACACAAATCTAACACATAACTTTCGAAACGTCAAATATAACGCACGTTACCCGTTTGTTGCGATTGTCCAAAATCTAAATCGTAAACAGGAACGGGTTCGTGGGTTCCCACACTATCTAAGAACGAGTACGCGCAAACTCCCGCAATCACACCTCCGAGTCAGATATTAGCATAGTTACGTCAAGGAAATTGTGAGATGAACCAGGAAATTATAGAAATGGATTACGCCACCGTCATCAAATAATTACTCATTTCGATCATCGACATTTTAAAGAAGAGTTAGCTTAAATATTCTCGTTTAAATATGATATAGGCTATATATAGTCCTTTAATATAGCGAAGCGATAGTGCGATGGCAGGATTGTATAGCAGCTAAAGCGGTAAACTTGACTGTGTCGGCATCGCAGATTACACATCTTCTGCTCACTCAGGATGTAATACTTAGGTGGGAAGGGGGGGCATTTTCTTGTTCCCAAAAGTATAATAAAATATCAACAATTTTAATGAATTTGATTTATTATTTATTTATTTATTAAGTTTGCAAAGCATAGTAACAATTCAATAACTTCCTTGGTCTTGCATGTGGGCAGATAAACTTGCAAAGTCAGGTAACTGGCTGGATACCATCAGCCTTAGTTCAGACTGCAGATTAACGTCTAACAATCTGACTCGGTATTCATTCTTCAGGTACTTCATTCTTAAAAAGATTGCTTCGCACGTGTAAGTGCTTCCAAAAAGAACGAGAGTTTTTCTTGCCAGTTATTGTAGCACTGGTTATACTTTTCTGCAGTACTTCTGTTTTGCTTCAATATACGCCAGCGTAGCCGCCAAATCCTATATTTTAAATTTTTTTTCGTTTTTTTTTGTTTATAGGATTTTGTATGTGGACGGCCGCATTATTTTTTCACGACGGTCGTATGCGGCCGTACGGTCGCAGGTTGTGCACCGTTGACTTAAATGAATACGGGCATTCTAGGCATTAAAACGTATGGACATACATAAAAGTCAATTTCTCTTGATGCTGTAATCAGTTTTTTTCTGTTTCGCTCTAAACTATTTCATCGCCTATTATGCTTATTATGGAGCTATAACTTTTAATAACAATCATGAACCGAGGGTTACAAAATCATATTTGGTGTTGTTAAAATTACCGTTATTCTGTGCGGTAGCATTATATCTGCATGCTGCAAAATTCGTACAAAATATAAAGCAAAATTCATGCTTTCAAGTTGGTTACGAGAAATTATTCTTCTGTGTTTGATTTTGTCTGTACACAACGCGGTCTAGTGGATTTCAATCACCAGAAATATAAGTTAAATAACTTATCTTTAAAGCCAGGTAAAATTAGTTAGTAGACGTTAGTTACATCTCTATGTTCAATGTTCTTCGGCAATCGCTGCTGAAAAATTTCGCTATCTTTATGCTATGGCCACACATGACAGATTCAGATTCCGGTATTTTTGACCGCCATGCATGAACTACACAAACCATGCATGCCATGAATGAACCATGCATGAAGTACACAAAAACACTACTCAATTTAGAGAAAATAAATACCAGAAATATATATATTTCAACTGCAATAGACGAGGAGTCGCGAATAAATAGTATTCAAGAGATATATTGAAAGCCTTTTGCGATATCGTTTATTTTTATGTCACCACATTCCTGTGATATCTATACGTATAAACCATTTAGATGAATAGTCAAAATGTGTGTAAAATTTCTCTTTTGAATCGAACTCGCTTTACCGAACCATGCCGAGCTTTATAACATATTAGCTTTTTAATAATAATTAAAAGTAACATACAATTACATAATAGGAACAACGTTATACTCCCTAATGCAGTGGTTTTCAACCTGTGGTACGCGTACCACTAGTGAGTGGTACGCGGGGGCTTTTCAAGTGGTACGCGAGAAGCTTTAAATTATTGCAACAACCGACTTTTGAGGTGGCTGAAATATGGCAGAAACGCTTTCTCTTTACCTTCCATTACTGAAATGTTACTGTTAATGTTACTCAACCACAGGTTAAGAAACACGGTTTTAAATGTATTATTATTAACAAAATTACCCCGCCGCTGCCCAGCCCCATTTTTTGGCACAAACTAACAAAAACAGTTTATGGCGTTACCAGTCCTTCTCTTTATAGAGCGCTCTCGCCCGCTACTGCACACCTAAAAGAAAACGGGATGGGCATACTTTCGCCCGTTTTACGTGTTACGTCCAAAATGCATCTGCATTGAGAAATCGGCAACGAATGGAGCGTTTGGAGGGGTGGTCAACGCGTGTCGAGATACCCTGACAGAGCCCAGATACATAATGAGGATAATACTATTACTACCTAATGTATCATGAGAATGTTACTATTACTACCTACTGCAGGGGTCGGCAACCTTTTTTTGCTCGCGGGTCAAAATTAAGGGTTGCAAGCCATTAGCGGGCCGCACATATTTTTAGAAAGTTGAAAACCGAAGGGTTGATAATTTTTATAATAAAAAATCAAACAACGACACATCTTTCGAATAGAATATAGATTTATTTCCTCATTGCATTGCAAAAAAACTCCATTTGAATATTTTTGGCGCCATTGAACCTTTTGCACTTAGCATCAACTTTTCTGCGTTTTGTTGCCATTTGTCTAATTATAATTAAATTTAAGGCTCAATAAACGAGTGATTGTGAATTATATACTTATTATGCTATAATATAATTTAGTCTACACGTGTCTCACAATAAATTCTGTTACGTAAGGAATATAATCGTCAAAACAGCAGATTTGTTACTATGATTCAGTGAAGCGTCACGGGCCAGATTGGAGCACTCCGCGGGCCCGCGGATGCGGCCCACGGGCCGTAGGTTGCCGACCCCTGACCTAATGTATGTGTTGGCTGATGGGCATAATCTTGACTTTTGAAGCCAAACAAGTTGACGATTAGGTTAGGCAGTTCCGGATAGCGGCTAGCGCCGACCAAAACGTATTTGTCTGAGTTTTGCGATAATTCAGTGGTGGCGATGATTAAAGCCATTCAGCTCTGACGGTAGACAACGCAAATTCTCTCGTGATTTTGCACGCAATTATTACTGAATATAATTAATACGTCGAAACTTTGCACGAATCTTTAAAAATGGATGTGGTGCCACATAAAATACTATCATAGCGCGTTTCTTGTGTCATTGTTCCCCGCCACAAAAGCGGTTTTATTGGTGGTACGCGGCCATGGTAAAAAACACAAAAGTGGTACGCGGTCAGTAAAAGGTTGAGAACCACTGCCATAATGTATGTAACTACGTGATCTACATCACCACGACACGCTTCAAACAAATCTAACACATAACTTTTGAAACGTCAAATATAACGCACGTTACCCGTTTGTTGCGATTGTCCAAAATCTAAATCGTAAACAGGAACGGGTTCGTGGATTCCCACACTATCTAGGAACGGGTACGCGCGGACTCCCTCAATCACACCTCCGAGTCAGATATTAGCATAGTTACAGCACAGCAATGAAATTGTGAGATGAACCAGGAAATTAGAAATGAATTACGTCACCGTCATCAAATAATTACTCATTTCGATCATCGACATTTTAAAGAATAGTAAGCTTAAAATTCTCGTTTTAATATGATACAGGCTATATATAGTCCTTCAATATAGCGAAGCGATAGTGCGATGGCAGGATTGTGTAGCAGCTAAAGCGGTAAACTTGACTGTGTCGGCATCGCAGATTACACATCTTCTGCTCACTCAGGATGTAATAACTTAGGTGGGAAGGGGGGGGGGGGGGGGGGGGGGGGGGGGGGGGGGGGTGGCATTTTCTTGTTTCCAAAAGTATAATAAAATATCAACGATTTCAATGAATTTGATTTATTATTTATTTATTTATTAAGTTTGCAAAGCATTGTAACAATTCAATAACTTCCTTGGTCTTGCATGTGGGCAGATAAACTTGCAAAGTCAGGTAACTGGCTGGATACCATCAGCCTTAGTTCAGACTCCAGATTAAAGTCTGACAATCTGGTTCGGTATTCATTCTTCAGGTACTTTATTCTTAAAAAGGTTGCTTCGCACGTGTAAGTGCTTCCAAAAAGAACGAGAGTTTTTCTTGCCAGTTATTGTAGCACTGGATATACTTTTCTGCAGTACTTCTGTTTTGCTTCAATATACGCCAGCATAGCGGCCAAATCCTATATTTCAAATTTTTTTTCGTTCTTTTTGGTTTATAGGATTTTGTATGTGGACGGCCGCATTATTTTTTCACGACGGCCTTATGCGGCCGTACGGTCGCAGGTTGTGCACTGTTGACTTAGGTGAATACGGGCATTCTAGGCATTAAAACGTCTGGACATACATAAAAGTTAATTTCTCTTGATGCTGTAATCAGTTTTTATCTGTTTCGCTCTAAACTATTTCATCGCCTATTATGCATATTATGGAGTTATAACTTTTGATAACAATGAAATGAATGAACATTATACAAGGCAGTTAATAGGCAGAGTGGACAAAACTATACCAACTTCAGCTATACATCTACAACAGTGGTTCTCAAACCTTTTTCTTTCATGGCCCATTTTCGTTGCACAAAAATTCTGCGGCCCACTAACATTTTCATGCGGGGGAAAAACTTCCAAGAAAAACATAGTATCTAACTTTATCGACAACTCTAGCAATTTTTAAAATGTAAAAGTTTTTGTGGCATAAATGTAGGGAGTGAGATTTTAATGACATCTCAATTTATCCACGAGTTGCGCTGTGAATAAGGCTCTGCATAAGTAAATAGAAGGTTTGCCTATGTCCAGTTCACTTCTCGTGCTTGGGGTGTAATAAACGGGATGGGTGATAATGAACAAAAAAAATTTCAATCCTTACAATAGTAAATCTCGTATATAAATGAATATGTGTCTCAAGCATTGTTCGGAGCAATGATATGACACACCTTAAAATTTTTCATTCAAAAACATTTAAAAAACTGGTGGTCATTCAAATAACGTTATTCAAATATTATTACTTTTTGTTTAATTTTACAAGCGCTTTTTATAGAGTGGTTAATCATTAAATTAAGAAGTGGTTCTGTACCGTGGAAGTTGGTAGAATAGAAAGAAATGTATCATGTGATGGGGAGGGTTTATAGATTATTTCTGTGCCAGTTGTGTAACTTGCAGGCGCTTGTAGGTTAGGACTGTATGTTGTTTGGTATTGATAAACATAATTGTAGATGTAAATGTGGCAAACATTAATAATTAGTTGAAAATCAAACAAGTGAAGTTTTTTGGAAGGTGAATGTTATTGAAACAAACCAAAAGTTTTGAGATTTTTACGTCACACATTTTCTCTAAACAAATCTATATATACGTACATTTACCAATATAAACATTTTCTACTAAGTTTAAAAGTATCTCCCCTTCCCTGATGTGAATTACCTGGTTTGATATCACAGGCTTTATAGAATAGTCTATTTAGTTTTTCGTTCAAAATTCTCAGTTGCCACAATTTACAGTCAAATTATTTATGTTTTAAAAGTGTTAAATTAGCTATATAAGTATAGCTTTGTTTTCATGAGGTTGTTTGGCAGTAAAGATGTCAAGTAAAAGTAAGTTTGAAATTTTCTCTGTTAACTAATTTTTCCATAACAACTGTTTGTGAACTGAGGTATGTTTGTGTGTGAGTATCTTCAACAAATTGTATCATATTCAGGTTTCTGCAGTATTACGAAGCTTAACAGTAAGTTTCATCATGTAATTGCAATTAAGTTACTAAAACGAGGTTCAATGTCTGGTGCATTATACTAAACGTTAGGAATGATTTTTCAAGCTGGAAGTTCTATGAAGATTGATTATGCACAGAGAGAGTTATCAACTCCTCTTAGATGTAACAATCTGACAATTTGTCTACTAGTACAATAACGTTGAAACTTTCAAAATAAAATATTTAATATATTTCGAGGGTATGAAAGTACTGCCTGAATATCTGTACACTGAGCAGTGTATCAGATGATCAGTGGGGAAGCTAACTTTGGTCGAGTATGCATAATTGTTCAAAACTGGCTCCCTCCAGCTCCAGTTTAGGACCCTATTTTGTTGATGTAATGGCTGTTTCTGGTTGGCTGAATGCCAAACATCTCGGTCTCTTTCTCTCTGTCATGATAAAATGCTGTTGATCAAATTTTAGAAAATGTATTTATGTATTTTTATTATTTTTAGGTAAAGAAGCAATTTCTATAGCCTCTGTCACAGAGGATGGAAAGTTTTTCTTGAACGTGGACAATGTGAACGTTCTTTTGGATATACTAGCAGACAAAGAAGACGTAGCTATTATTTCAATGGTTGGAGCTTATAGGACTGGGAAGTCTTTCATGCTGAACATATTTCTGCAATATCTAAGAAAGAAAGGGGTATGTAGGCTTTGTTAAAACATCAAAACTATATCAGAACTTTCAAAATGTGAATGTCCGTCTGTACTCACTGGAGGAATAGTAAGATTCTTTTGAATCACATTCATTTTGAACTTGGAATCAGGGGTCTGAGAGTCAAAACTCCTGCTTGTTGCTTTTTCTTATAATCATTTTTGAGCTTTTTGTGCCTTCACTCAGAACAAGGTTCTAAAACTCATGTATAAACAATATACCGTAGTTACTTTGACATACTAGCCACTTAGCAGGTTTAGAAACAATGCTGTCTTGGGATGGGGAGTATATAGAATCACAAAAATTATCTTCAATTTATTGTGTTCCCCTCTTTCTATATATAAGTTATTGTACAGCAAACTGTAACACCGTAAAAATATTTTTGATTGAAATCTATCTCTGTTCAGTGGCAAAATGAAAATTGGTTAGGACCTGAAGACAAAAAACTTCAAGATGGATTTTATTGTGGAAGAGGTTCAATGCGTCTTACTCGTGGAATAAACGTTTGTCCTGAGATATTTGATGTACCATTAGAAAATGGAAAAGAGGTAAACGGATTTGGTTTAATTGGTAGCAGTCTGAGCTCTACCTTCTGGGTAGTAGTCTATGTTGGGTATGGAAATAATTATCAGGCATTTGTTTTAGCAATGTTAAAGAGTCCAAAATCTTCTTGCACAAAATTACAGAACTCGAACCTGTGAATGACTAGATAATATCCAAACCATCAAGCTAATTCATGCAAGGTTTTACCAGATCTCTTATCTAAAAGTAAGATTAAGAAAATTATTTCACTATCCACAATAATGCTAGCATCTTTCTGTAAAAAAAAATTTAATTTTTATGAATGCACGAGACTCGTGCAATATGTCCAACATTGTAAAGAAAAATAAGAAACCACAAAATACAACCATGCCAATGCTATTTACGTTGTATGGTGCAGAATTGAATCCCAAGAAAATTTCCTTGCGGGCTAGGGAATGATCATTAGGTATTTTTGTGTATTGTCACTGTTGTATTAGTTAGTGATGGTCATTGAATTATGGTTGATATATACCAGATATGGAAAAACCTTTTGATGTATGTGTCAAATAATATTTTTATTAGGGAAAGTGAATTTTGATAGATATTTAGTCATTGTCTACATTCTTTTGATTCGTCTTTGGAAGTCATATAATCCATGATATCGCATAGTTTTGAGCTTTACACATGCATAACTCAAATAAGACATGAGGAGATTTCTGGTGCTAGATTTTGTGAAATTCGTGTGCATATAAATTATTGAAACACGTTCATAATATTACAGAAAATATTTGCATGGTTATAAAAGAGTTTGGATGGGAATTCTACGTTAGGAGAATCATATTTTACAATCCATTTTGAACCCCATTAAAGTTACAACCACCCAGATCAACTGTTATTTCCTATTTCTATTTGTTTATTCAAGTCCATAAAATTTTGTTTTTGAAGCGTCATACTATGCATGGAAAGGATAAAATGCAAAGTGACATCTAGTTCTAGCACAGTGCAAAATCCCCTAAATTTAGGTATGAATCAATGAAGTGATGGAGCTTGGAAAATAGAAAATGAATGATAGTTTCAACACCAGTATTCGATATATTCTATAAAGTTTCAGAACATTTTACTGGATCCTAAATCTTCGGAGTCTGTAGCTTAGGAAATAATTTTTGGGGCTCCCGAAGTATGCGAACCAAGATGGCGGACATCGGAATGTAATATGCGTACTAGGTTAGGGTTAGGCCATAATTTTAGGTATAAATACTACGGGAGGCTCTTGGCTAGTCTTCGAACTGATAATAGGACTAAAATAAGGAAAATTGGAAAAAAATTATCGCCTAACCCTAACCTGTTACCCATGTTACGTTCCGATGTCCGCCATCTTGGTTCGCATACTTCGGGAGCACCTAATTTTTTTTTTTTAAATTTGACATTTATTATGAATTTGTTATAAATCACTCATGAACTGCTTCATTTGATACCGAATGGTTATAATTTTTAAAAGCAATGTCCAGATAATCTTTCTTACTCACTCTCATAGCTGTCCTTGACTGAAAACTAATCATAGTGCCAAAACTCACTATAATTCCAGCTTGGCCCAAATCTCTTAAACAGAGATTAATTGGCTGTCGGCAATACATTGCCAAATCTTACTATTTGTGCATCTATTTCTGATGCAAGAATGTCTGGTGATACGACCGGGCAATTATGACCAGGTAATTATGAATAATTCCTCATTCTATTTTCAGATATCTGTAATGATTGTTGACACCCAAGGTCTATTCGATTTTCATAGTACACAAGATACTAATCATAAAATAATGATGATGAGTACAATACTTTCGTCACATCAAATTTTCAATTGTGTAGGAATGTTACAGCAAAGAGATCTGGAATTTTTTCATGTAAATTAGCAAATTAATTTTAATGTAGAATGTATTTACGGTAATTCAAAAAGTTGAAATGAAACTTATTCATCCTATATTGTATTTAAACATTCCAATTTAGGATTTTAATCAACTTCAGTTCTATTTGCCCTAACCCTAACATCTTCGAAATATCTTGCGATCAACAATAAACTAGCGATCAACAATAACAATAAACTAGGCTCTGTGGGCGCATTCTTAATGAAATGCACAGTACGCATAGGCATGCGCATGTACAGTACTGTATTCTTCCTGTTTAAAACACATAACAGGCACTGCATGGAACTGATTCGAGGTAATTTTTTGGTATATGTTATTAAACTTACTCAACATCAGACGCCAACGACTACGTTGAGATTGACTTGTTGGCTCCCCCTGGTATAAACCATCTTATTTCAGTCAAAAGAACTTATTGCTTTCATGTGTACTTTATCCCCAAATATATTATCTGATTAATTTTCTAAACAGTATAAAAGCTATACTCTCGACAAAAACAGTAGTGACAAAACTAAACTTCCCGACCTTTTTAATCAGATATTAGATTTTTGAGTGTCGCTGCTCGATAACCAGCTTTGGTTCCCCGCGACTTCCCTTCCCAAGATGAAATGTGTGATTTTCTTTTTTCCTTGTATTTTGTGTAAAACTGACATTTTTTCTGGTTGGTAAAAATAAACTCGACTTGACTTGATTACATCTTGTTATTCCTCAAGAAGTCGATTTTGCAAGCTATAATATTCATTTGATGTTGTTCTACAGACATCAGTGAGATTTGCAAAAACAATTACTCAAATGCTTCAAAAGAAAGAAGAACATCCTTTCCAGGTTTGATATATTTATGGCACTATCTTTTTCAGATGTACGCTGTATACTAGGGTTATAATTGTGTCAGATTTCCAGTCTATACTTATTCAAGTAACCAACTTCAGAGTCGATTTCATTAAAACTGAATCAAAATCACCGCAGCCAATTTTGAATCTTTGCTTCACCATATTGTTCATTTTTTCTTGTAGTTCAAGTTTTTTTTTTTAATATATAAAGCTGACCCATTGTTTCTATATTTTGCAGGCTCTCACCTTTCTTGTTCGAGATTGTCACTTCGATTATGAATATCCTTTAGGTGACAAAGGTGGCTGTGAGTATGTTGGAAGCATTTTGAGAGATCTTTCAGCAAATATGCCAGAAACCGTTAAAGAAGTGAAAGAATCAATTGCGATTGCTTTTGAAAATGTGTATGGATTTTTGATGCCTCCAGCCGAAAGGGAAGTCCATAGAAAAAAGATATCTTCTGAAATTACTATTGCAGGTTATTTTTTTCGTCAGTTTATTAATTTTTTATTATAAGTAGTTGCTTCGGACAGGGTTAGATTCAAAAATACATCACAAGGGGATTTAATTACTTCAATGTAAAAAGATAATAACCTTGTCAACATTAACTACCATGTTAAAAACAATGTAAAAGTGTACAAAATTTTTTTAAATTGATGGGTTGGTTCTTGGATGGTTCAAAGTGATAGGTTTCTTCTGTTTAGACATAAAAGGTGAATTTTGTGATTATGCTTGTCAATTGACAGAGAAGATTTTGCATCCAAAGAACCTTGTAGCAAAACACCTGTGTGGCAAACCAATGTCCACGAATACTTGTCTTGGTCTTATAGCAGAAATCAGCAAAGCATTTGACTTGCCTTCTGTAGATAGAATGATTGATGTAAGTATAGATTTTCATATTCATCATGTAGGGAGATTTTTCATTAGACATGCAGATCAAAGACAATCCAGGACACTGACTTAAAACTAATTACTTACTAAAAATGGAATGACTACTAGCAGAGGAATTCTAAGAAAATACTGACACACTAAAGTCATATACATAAGCAGTGTTATGGAAGCTCGAGTCATTGAACGAACATGAAATGGATTAGATTCAGTGACTATGAGTTTTAATGAAACATTAAATTTTATTCAAAGATATTGTTTTTATTATAGTGCTATGATAAAGCAGAAGATGTAGCTGATTTTATTAAAGCTGTGGAAATGTATGAGCAACACATGAATGAGGTATTTGTTTAGATTTATCTGCGAAGACTTTGTAACACTCTCTTCGGCGAGCTCCATACATATCAAAAGATAATGGTGGATGTTTGCACTGGGACTTGTTCAATGCGATAGATGTGAATAAGTGTTGAGTGCAGCATAAAGCATAGGAACACTTTACACACTTCATTTTATCACCTAATTAATCGAACCAAGTATGTGTCCTTCAATTTTAAAATTATATATCTTGTGAAATCCTCTTCTTAGCTATTCACACAAAAAAATAACGCCCAAATTCATGAACAAAAGGGTTAAAGGTCCTACTAAATAATCCCCAATCACAAATTAACTCAAATTTTAATTCTATTTCTTACTTAATATTATGTTATTAGCATATCAGCAAACTTGGCAACATCTTCTCAGAAAAGGATGTGATGGTGTGCCATGATAATTCACTTCAAGATGTAAAGAAGTTATTTTCTCAAAAGACAGCAACAGGCTTCGAAGAAGAAAGAAGTGAAATCTGGAAGCTTATTAAAGAAGAATGCGAAAATTATTCTAATTCAGTGATTGAAGAAAATAAACAGAAAAAGGTTCATTTTCAGGTTTTGTCAATTTAACAGGAACAGCCAAAGATAGAAATACCAATCAATCAAGTCTCATATCTTAGCAGATTTCCCTCAGAACAAAACAAAACAAAAATGCACTATGTAAATCCTATCCTATTACTGTTTGGGTGTGTAAATAGATATTGGCACCATAAATATGTTGAGTTATGTAGCTTCGTTTGAGATGTCTGGATTACTCTTATGTGATATTTAATGAATACTGAATTAGATAATAAGCATGTACCTGTATTTATTTGTAATTTTTTGAAATTGAATTTATTCAAAATTTTAACATTTTTCTCTTAGCCTTGAAGCCTTAGAGGCTTCAAATCAACTTCGGACATCTAGATAACAAAAATGTTATTGTTGTTCGGCGTTTTTTTAGTGATAAAATGCAACCATGAACATACTTTGAATTTAAAAAAATCTTGTTGATTTCAACACATTACTGAGAGAGATTACTGAGATTACTGAGAGAAAATAGCAAGGTTTAATTCCTACTTTGCAGTCTTGTACAAACTGTGAATCTCAGCTATTTTTAACATTTGACTAGGGACGTTTTCAGAATTTCAAATCACAATGAAATGGAATCTGTTTTAGGCAATATCAAAAATAACATCTTGATTTCATTTTAAAAATAATAATAATTTAGATAAAATGAGGAGATCGGAGAGAAAATTCTTCTTGTAAAAAGATTACTCCAGCTATTGTAAGATTTTATACATACGAAGGGCCAACACCAGAAACTTGAAAAATGTGTTCAGGTTAATTTAATGAGTGCATAAAAGGGATGTCCAATTCAAATTTAATATTCGAATATCTCGACCTTCGAATATTTTTTTTTGCGTTTATAAGAATACCAACATATCCTAGCGCCTGCGCCCATGTTTTGATTTAAAACATTTCACAATTATTTTATTTTTGTAATCAAAGGCAAACATGTGCGGTGGTTTGGCAATAAATTATTTGCCATCCCATTGCCCCGTTTTTTTCCTGCGGGTACGTACAATGTGCGGGTACAATGTGTTGCAGGCGCAATTCAGTGAAAAGATGATGATACATGCGAGTCACAGTTAAAACAAAAGAAAATGAAATAAAAGAAATAAAAAGTTTTAAATCAGTACTTTTCCTCGTGCCACACAATTTTCGTTTGTGGCCGCATTTGGCTTGCGACCGCAGTTCGCACATTATTTAATTACAATTTATCTCGTGGTTATTTAAAATGAAAAAAGTAATATTATAATAGGATGTTATAATAAATTAACTAAATCCGAAAAGGAAATCTCCTGAATGCACACTCCAAGATACAGCATTCTTCACCATGCATCTGAAACAGATAACTTGCAAATAATTTCATACTCATTGACTGGTAACCAGGCGAGGCAATATTTGCTACATGATTAAGCCTCCTTATTGGCTTGCCTCTCCATCTGGATATAATTGAAAACCTTACTACTTGATCAAATTGGAATGGATAAAATTTAAATTGCCACACCAAATTTTTAGAGAGATTTTTGGGAAAAAAAAATCTATAGTGATAGCTCGTACAAGTAGTTTATTTTTGTTCTTCTGCATAATCCGGATATACCAATAAGAAATACTTTGATATTGTTGGCAATAAAGCCTTGATGTGCAACTTAAGGTTTAAATTGATTTTGCAGAGAGAAGAGTGTGAAGAAGACATTTCTGATAAATTGAAAAATACTCATCTTTCTGAAAGAGTAGAGGTAGATCAAAGTAATAATGTCAACAATATAGTTTTTGATAAACTTAAAGAAGAGGAAATTAGCAATGGGCAGGGACATTTAATAGTGGTCATTTTTATTTTCTAATTACAGAAGTTATGCAAACTTTTAATATATAATTTGAAGCGTAAATAAATTATTGAATTTGTGACCTGCTTAATGAAGTTGGTTGGCAGCTTTTTGATGCAACATTTTTGATCTACTATTCATTGACATATACTTGAGATATACTTTGACATATAAAAAGCATGATTTAAGAATATTTTTTTGTGAAAATATATGAATATATACAATGGCACTTATAAAGATGGCATCATACTGGGCAACATGCATCCATATGGGTAGGTAATTGTACAGACGGTTCTAGCTTTGCTAGTGGACTGCAGGAAAGATAGTGGGTTAATTTAGTGGTTATATTTATGTAACTATATATTTTAAATCAATCGTTTTGGCCTTTGTAATTACTGACACCTTGTAAATATGTATATGACGGTGTTTTTTGTTTTGATTTGTAAAAGATAGGTTCTTGTAGTATTTTCAGATATCAAAAAGAAGAACAGCATCCCAGTCTCAACAAAGGTGTAGTGATGATGAGATGAATTCAGGAGATGCTACAAAGCCCTTTTCTGAACAACCTGGAACTACGAAGAAAAATATATCTACGTTTAGTGAAGGAACAACATATGAAGTAAGACTAATTTGATCTTTGCTCGTAACGAAACTCTTTGTCAAGGTATAAAATTTCTTTATTTATCACAAAGTAGTGAAAACCTGATAAGAAAGTTATACCAGTATGAGTAACTAAGCCGAGTATAGGTAACCAAATAATCATTTTAGACAGGTAGTAGGATAGGTGCACTCGGTCAGTGGTTACATAAAATTTCCTACCGTATTGACAACTACAACAAATTTCTTTTTTCGTGACATTTGACTGTTCGTGCTGAACTTCATTCAATTCTCCAACATTCAACTTTATAGATATCTGTCTGCCTCATAGTATTGAAATGCCTTATGTTTTGCCTTGGGCCTGTCAATGCTTCAATGCTATTTTCATCTCATTTTCTCAGGTCAAGGCAGAAGTTGAATATGTTCCAAGCGCATTGCAAGAATATAATGTGGAGAGTGCTATCGAACCTTATGCATTTAGAGTGGATAAAAAAGGATGCCGAGTCATCGCACCATATTGCAAATTATTGTTTCCTCCTAACGCTGTTGAAAGAGCAATTGATATTACAATGTCTGTAATGTACTATTCAGAGGTGATTACTTTGAAAATTTTACTGTTTATATAACTTGAATTTATGTGTTTTGGTTGATCTGTGGATCATTTTAGTGTTTATGATACAAGGATACATTGGTAGAGTAAACTATAATATATAGTGAAGAATCTTTTCCAACCTACTTTGATAAGGAACTCACCTTTTGTGGATAAAGTTTAACACAAATCATGACTGCATTACATAAATTGCAAATATCCACAACCAAAAGAATCTAAATTAGTTTGGAAGATAACAAGTTTTAAATATAAGCTGTATGAATAAAGTTGTTTGTACAAACAATTATAACAATTATAAAAAAAATCATAAATCTCAGTTTCAGCCATTAAGTTATGTTTATGACCATTTCCAGTTACATGTTTCCAAATTCCACTTCATTGATACAACATCAACATTACCAAATACACGATTTTGCTCTTTTTTGCAGTATCCTATTTATTCTTATATGGTATCATATGATAGATTTTTAACACATTTTCCAACTAGTTTTTCAACTACTATTTCTAGAAAGAGGTTGAGGGCTATGCTTTTATAACTCCACATGTGGAATTCACTTCCAGCAACGAAATAAAATTCCTGAGATATGTACAAGTTTCTCTTTATACGTCCTACTCTTTTGCAGAAGTCGAAGATCCTGTTTATGTCGAGGTTTGATGTTTAGTTTCAATTTTCTCAGAATGAGTATGCGCTTTATTCTTTGTTATTACATCAAATAACCAGTGAGGACCAGCAGTAATTCAACATAAACAGTGTATTTTTCAAGTTTGGACATTGTGAATATTAACTAATTTAGAGAGAATATTGATATACCAGATTTAAAACAAATTTATGTTATCAATACATTCATGTATTGTTTCTAGATTCTAAAAACAAGCAAATCTGAGGATGATGTAATCCTGACACAAGTTTGTCTTACAGATGAAAGATTTATTGTATTTGGCTGCAGAAGCTTTTGCAGGTGCAGTATTGCCTGATCAAATGAACTCACTAGAGCAGTGGTTCCCAAACTTTTTGTACCATCGCCCCCCTACAGTAGTTTTTACAAGTTCATCGCCCCCCGGCACCTCGAAAAAAATGTAAAGTCTGAAACGGATATATTACAGACCGAATAACGAGACAAATCATAGTTTATATTATTTTTTATGAGATGGATGAGCTTGGTGTTCTTCAGCGAGTTTTTTATAATATCTAAAATTATCCTGTTTACTGATGGAAAGGCGATTTCGTTGTTTTGATAGCAATAGTAGCACAGCTGAAAACCCCTCATCATATTAGCGGTCGGAAATGAAAGAATCTAGGGTTCTACCTCCTCAAAAACCGCCGTGTCCTCTTGCATTTAACTCTCTAAATTCACCCCATTTTACATTTAGGGTTGCTAGTCTTTTGCGGGTCGCATATATTTTTTGAAAGGTAAAAACGGAACAGCCGGCAAAAACCGCGACAATTCGTGAACTCAACTCAGTCGTCTAATTAAAAAATTATTACAATTATTACTCCTCGGGCGTAGATTGTAAATAAAATTACTTCATCACCAAAACCGCCGTTTGGATGTTTCCCCGGGCATAAACTTCCTTGTTTACTTCGTGACATTGGCCATTCAGCAAGATGCAAAAATAAACGTAACAATTGCTCCTTTTGCATCCGCACAGATTTTCAGGCGTGGTCGTGAAAATTACCTCATTTTGGCGTTTTTGAATTATATTCGTTAGTTTTTAGTTGTTTTCCGGAAATTTAAATATAATAAAATAAGTCAATGATCACTTTGTCTCCCCAGAAGTTTCAGTTTATTTACAGTAGGCAAAAATTTGGTGTAGAAATATCTTTGATAGACTAGGCTAAAAATTTTTACTGGTACTTTTAAAAAACAGATTGTTGAATGGTATGAATTAGAATCATAGTTTAAAACAAATACCCCGTTTTACAGGAACAACTCCCAAAACCACTCTTAAAATACGCACCGAAAATTTTGAAATGGTAAAGTATAGGAAAAATTTTCCGGGGTCAAAGGTCGGGGAACAGTCCTTCCAGTGGATCGTCCCGGGCCTGATTATTTTACTTCGCCACCGTATTTCGCCGACCACTGGGATACGGAAACGACCATATCTTACTGCGAAGACGAGTCCAGTACGCGTGTGATAATCACCTACGTGATTCAAACATACGAAAGCACGCAGAGTACAGTAATCAAGTGCACGATGCGCCGAATAAAAACAGGTTTCTAGAAATCGCCCCCTTCGACTTTTTCGCCCCCCTCTGTAGCGTTATCGCCCCCTGGGGGGGATATCGCCCACTTTGGGAATCACTGCACTAGAGGACTCTGTTTAGTTAGACTCAATGTTCGGTGTACTATGCAGATTTTAATAACATACTTGGCGTACTTACCGTGTGTGTGCTTGTAAGTCTGAAGATTTCTTAACTGCACGTTGCCAGTTAGTGGTTCATGTAACTGTTATTTCGAGACATATTTGTTTTTGTATCTGGAAAGTGTTTTCAAACCAAACTTGGATTAGTATCCCATGAGAAGCTGTGGTTTTCCATTTGACTAAGTTGTCTTATCGTCCATATCTTTTTCAAAATTGATGCGGCACTTCTTATCCAAAATCAATCTTAATTTGAATTTATAGTTTCAGAACTTTTACAATGAAAAGTTTCCATTTAAGTATGGAAGCTTGATAAAATTTCCCATGCGGTTTATCTTCTATTTCTAAACATATGTCTTTATTTGGAGGATACATTTCAAAAAATGAACGATTTATCTGTCCAATGAAATACAGAATAAATTTATTAATGGTTTTGCTAAATTGCTTTTCTGTTGAACTCCAACTATTGCAAGATTCAAAAATGTGTCTCTATGCATTTTTTTTGCCAATCAAATTTGGCTAATCAGTGTTCAATTAATAAGATGTATTTACACTGTAGTCTGCCTTTAGATCTTTATAAACAAGCACCAAGTTTCCATTACAACACTACTTTATTGTAAGAGTCAAGCACTCCAATAAGACATGTAATACACCATAGCAGTAACAGACTAAACAGCAAGTCAACACTAACACGTGCTCAGATAGAACAACAATCACGGCCTCGGATATACAAGGTCAAATCAGTATGGTTCAATAGCGTCATCTAGCGGTATTACATCATATAATATATAACACTTTTCTCCCTCTTAAAAAAAAAATGGAAGGTCATTATATATCATTTACATTGTTTCAATCAACCGCTCAGGCTTAACCCCAACCCGTTTTGGATAACGTGAAATTTCAACAGAAGTTTCATCAGGGCACTGGGTTTCAATTTCAATACTAATATTAGGATTAACAGGTAAATTTTCATTAGCACTAGGAAAATCAACATTAGAATCAATTCGTCAGTATTTGGAAACACAGAAGGCAGGGAAACGTCACCATCCAAACTACTATCATATGATTTCTCTAATTTCATTTTACACATTGCCAATATTTGATCAATATGTCTTTTCCAGATAATTGAACCAACTTTTACACGATAGGTTACAGTACTCAACTTCTTTATGATTATTCCATGAATCCATTTTCGGTTTGGATCTCTGTAATCACGAACTTGAACACGATTTCCAACTTCCAGATTTCTAATAGGCTTTTGCAATGGAGTTGTTCTTTTCTGCATCGAATTATTCAAATTAGGTTTCATTAAATCTAATCTTGTTCTCAGTCTTCTTTCATGAATAATTCAGCTAGAGTACATTTCGTTGTAGAATGTGGCGTTGTTCGAAGGATGCCAACTTCTGTTTCAGTGTTCTAGGTAATTTCTTTAAAGTTTTCAGTGCAGTCTTGAAGGTACGCACATTTCTTTTAGCCTCACCATTAGAAGACGGATGATACGGACTTGAGAAGATTTACTTGATTCCATTTCGCATCATAGAATCTCTAAACTCTTTCGATGACAGGTTAGGAGTTGTTAGGAGTATCGCTTACCAATATTTCAGGTAGTTCATATTTTGAAAATAAATATCTCAATGTATCAACAGTCTTTTCAGAAGTAGTTGAAGGCATTCTCAACACTTCAGGCCATTTAGAATGAGCATCGACCACCACCAGAAAGTTTTCATTCATTATTGGACCAGCATAGTCGATCTGAATTCTTTGCCATGGCTTCTATGGCCATATCCATGGATTTCCAGGCGTTTTATTTGCAGGACTTCTCATTTCCTGACAATTTGAACAATCTCTAACTTTCTGTTCAATTCTTTCATCAATATTCGGAAACCAAACATGCAATCTGGCTTATGATTTCATCCGAACCATACCAGGATGATTTTCATGCTGTTCATCTAGTACTTCTGCAATATACTTTTCAGGAATAATAACTCATATTCCCCACAGCAATATTCCTTCTTCCACAGTGATTTCATCTTTCCTTCTGTGGAATGGCAACAATTCATTTGTAATTTCCCCCTTTGCAGGCCAACCATTTATAGTATACAGCAACACTCGTGAGAGCTTTGGATCATTTTCAGTTGCATGGCGGAGCTTTGCAGGAGTTATGGGAAGCGTATGAACTTGGTTTATGTTCATAATCGTTGCCTCTTCTTCCCAACAATCACGTATTTCAGACTGATCTGTTTTCATGGGCAATCGGGATAATGCATCTGCATTCCCATTATTTTTCGTGTTTCGTTAACATATTTCATATTTATATGCAGACAGTTTTATAGCCCACCTTTGCAATCTGGTTGCAGTCAAAATAGGTATACCACGTTTCGGAATCAATAACATAGTCAAAGGTTGGTGATCTGTCCACAATTTAAAATTTCGACCATATAAATACACATGAAATTTTCTTACACCATATACAATTGCTAGTGCCTCCTTCTCAATTTGGGAATAATTTTTTTCAGCACCTGTTAAAGTACGAGAAGCATATGCAATAGGTTTTTCAACCCATTTGGCAGTATATGAGAAATTACAGCACCATTACCTACAGATGAAGCATCAGTGGCAAGTAATAATGGTTTTTCAGAGTCATAGTGTACTAGCACTTCAGATGACACCAATATATTTTTCAGTTTCACAAAAGCATTTTTACATTCTCTATTTCAATTCCATTTCATAGACTTTTTCAGTAACTTATTGAAAGGATCAACAAGGGTAGACATTGCAGGAATAAATTTACGATAATAATCCACAATACCAAGAAAAGATTGCAATTCTTTTACATTTTCAGGGATAGGGATTTCCATTATTGCTTCAATCTTTTTCGGAGAAGGGTGAATACCTTCCGAATTAACAATAAAAGCAAAATATTCAACAGATGGTTGCAAAAAACAACATTTAGAACGTTTCAATTTTACACCAAATGAATTCAATCTATATAGAAGTTTATCAAGAACTTGCGAATGACTATTATCATCTTTTTCGGTGACAATCAAATCATCTAAAATACAACCCACATTTGGCAATCCCTGGAGAATTTTCTCCATAGTTTCTTGGAAAATACTCGGACTAGAAGACGCCCCATAGGGTAACTTTAAATATCTAAATAACCCCATATGAGTATTAATAGTGACGTATTTTTGAGATTCATCATAAAGTAAAACTTGTTGATAAGCTTCTGATAAATCAAGCTTTGAAAATTTCTGTCCCCCATTCAATTTACTAAACAGGTCCTTGGGTCTAGGCAAGGGATATTCAGGGACATCTAATTCAGGGTTTATAGTTACTTTAAAATCCCCACAAATTCTTACTGAACCATCAGCTTTCAATACTGGAACAATGGGTGAAGCCCAATCAGAACTTTCAACTTTTTTCAGGACCCCCATATTTTCTAGTCTTCTCAGCTCATCAGAAATTTTATCACGAAGAGCAAAAGGAACAGGTCGCGGCTTGTAGAATTTCGGAATGGCATTTTCTTTCACCCTTAGCTTAGCAGTTATACCTTCTATTTTTTCAAAATATTCTCAAGCGTTAGCTTAGATCCAGTATGACAAATACGATGCCAATTCAATTGCAATAGCTAATTTCTACCCAATAGTAATGGACCATTGCCACGAACAATTTGCAAAGGTAAATTTACACCCTGTGACTCATATTCAACAGTAACATTCACTTTACCTAAGACAGTAATATTTTCACCAGTATAAGTTGTCAATACAACATTAGATTTCAGCAAAGGCAAATTTTTAAAATTCTTTTCATACATGCTCTCAGAAATGAGTGACACCCCACTACCAGTATCTAATTCAAATTTACAATCACAATTTTCGATTCTCAGTGAAACTACTATTGGACCATAAGAACTAGACTTAGTAGTAATACAGGACACATTTCATTTTGAGAACAGTTCGAAGACAGGTTATTATCATTCGTAGGTTGCATGTAGTCACAAGTCGGAGACTTTTTACTTTTCAGAGGATTGGAACCTCGATAGGAGTTACGTTGCATTGAGCATTTTCGACTTATATGCCCAATTCGTTTACATTTATGACACTTTGCATTTCTGTAGAAACAGCTTTCAGCAGGATGATTACTTTCCCCACATCGAAAACATTCTTTGAATTTTCGAATTTCAGAACGCGTTGCGAATCTTTGGTTCTTTTGAACCTCATGAACTCTTGGTTTACTTTCATCTACTGGCATTTTTTCAAATTTGCAACTTAATTCGTTGGCTTGTTTTTCTGCCAATTCCATACCAGTAGCAACTTTCACAGCCTTCTGCAGAGTTAGGTCAACTTCAGTTAATAATTTGCGTTTCATTCGAGTCGATATTAGTCCACTCACAAATCGATCTCTTAGTTGAATCATTTAAGAACTCACCAAAATGAAAATGTTCGGATAATTTCCTGAGTTGTGTCAGGAACTCATTCACAGTTTCTCCATCATGTTGGATTCTTTCATGAAATTTGACCCTTTCTTCTATCACCAATGATTTGGGGTTGAGATGCTTGTTCTGAAGTTCTTTCAGCTGGACATAAGTTTCTGATCAAACTGTATGTTTGAGCCCCGCAAACGCTTAATAATATGGCTTTCTTTTTATCAGCACTTTCAATTTCGTTTGCCGCAAAATAATGTTCTAAGCGTTCAACATATTCAGACCAATCTTGGCCATTACTATACTCTTCTATTTTTCCAAAAGTAGTCATTTCAGGTATAGTAATTTTTCAGCTATGGAATTTCAGGCTTATAAATTTCAGTCAATAAAGACAATTTCAGCTGCTTATATTTCAGACTCTTCTTTCCAGGTACTTGTAATAACGTTATATTGAATCACTTACTGTGACACCGGCATGCAGCAAACCGATCCCATTGACACAGCTAACGTTGTACGGCAGTAGACCAATCCCATTTACACAGTTAACGTTATACGGCAGGAGACCAATCCCATCCTTATCGCCAAATTGTAGTGTATTCTGCCTTTAGATCTTTATAAACAAGAACCAAGTTTCCATTACAACACTACTTTATTGTAAGAGTCAAGCACTTCAAAAAGACATGTAATACACCATAGCAGTAACAGACTAAACAGCAAGTCAACACTTAACACGTGCACGGATAGAACAACAATCACGGGCCTCGGATATACAAGGTCAAATCAGTATCAAGTATGGGTCAATAGCGTCACCTAGTTAGCGGTATTACATCATATAATGTATAACACACACGCTGTGAATAAATAACCATGTACATTTAATAGTAAATTTATCTCGTCTTCTAGATTTAGTGCACGAGTTCGTGACAGGGATCAAAGACTTATGCAAAGAAGATTTTATTCTGCGGCCTATATACGAAATGAGAGAACCAAGCAATCACGTGTTGTTCATTGGTCCATCTATGAAGACATGCCTGATACACGCCAAGATAAATTGAAGCATTTGGAAAAGAAATCAATATTCTTTGATCCTCAGTGTTTTACTCTCAGGTACTCCAAATTTATCCGAGGGTGATAAACCTTTTTGAACGCTCGGCGGTGGGGCACATTATGCTAAGCTCGCCACCGCATCTCTGATTACCTTGCGTGGGTTCGCAGGTTCAAAACCCATGCAAGGATGGTTATGTGCGAAAGGATTGCTGGACACCTCGCCGCCAACCGCTGGTTGGTTACGGCTTCCTCAACCATAAGTTCATGCATCTGAAAAGAAGAACTAGCTAACCAATTCCATACCCGACCTGGTAACTGGAGGAGTGGCCATGGTTCGCCATATGATTATGCCGTCTTATCTACTTTTCTTTCCTCTGGGATAAATACGTAAATTCCATCCTATCCTAAATCAATCATTTGATTAACACGTTAAGTATAAGATTCGCAAGCCAGCCCTATAGCTACATTAAATAAACAGTAAAACATTCAAGATGTGTGTACATACGGTAATTAGGGAAGAGAGCCAAACCTATACAGAAAGTACATGAAATAGCTCCTCATTGGTGAGTCTAATGATCATCTTGTATATGTTCACAGTGCACTTCGAAGTTCGAGCTTGAATCTCTGTCAAACTCCATCATTTGTGGAGTTGCCAACGATGTTCCTAAACTAAATCTTTTTCCACATAATTGGCTAATTTTTTTGGCTCGGTGGTTGTCACATCATGCTAAGCGTTAGAAATACTCTTGCCAACAAACCTGTGATTACCCTAATTGGAATCCTAGGTTTGAATCTCGTGAGGAATAATCATATGCAAGAGAATTGCTTGACTCTCCCTCATCATATGGTAGTTTACATAATCGCTAGTCAGTTACTGCTTCCTCCAACATCACGTTCATGCATCTGGAACAATTAACTGGCCGACTAATCTCATACTCGGCATGGACTAGTAACTGGGGGTGAGGCTTTGGTATGCTGTTTTAACGTCTTTGCTCTCCCTCGGGAGCAATATGAAAATTTTATCCAAATGAGTTTTAAATTCTGGAAAAAATGAAATTTACATTCAAGCCTGCAAATCCATAATCTTACAAGTTTATATTCAATTACAGATGCCACCACGATCTTCAGATCAAACTTAAAAGACATGCCGCAGATGTTACTGTTACATCAGATGATGAAAATATACTTCCGAGTCATTTGTTTGGAAAAAAGGTTGATAAAACATTGCAATTTCTAGTTCATCTTTCTGAAGGGGTTAGACTGCATGATGAAAACCTGAAATTCCAAACTGAGACTGTGGCTATTGATAGAGATACAAATGCAACAATACCAATTGATCGAAGCTCCTGTTTTATGATTTGGAATGATGATAAATGTTCCTCTGCTGACCAGCATAATTACAATATTAATGTCGGAGAAAACGGAATTGGCGTAAAAAATGACTTCAAGGTTGCGGGGAGTTCTGTTGATCCTTGAGTCCCTTCAAACTGGTGTTCGTGGGTGACTTTTTTTATTATTTTATCTTTTAATAAAACTTCAATTTATAGGTTTATATGCGTGTTGATATCTACCATTGAAATAAATTTAAATGTAACCCGATAATTTGATAAAAAAAATGATATTTCTTTATAAAAAAAGCATTTAACTGCTGATTTCATTTTTAAAACATCTGGTGATTTCAAACATGAACAAATCTCCATACGATGCTCTATCTTCCAGGTTACACACTTGATGTGATACATGATGCAAGAATAAAATGCTTGATAGTGAAATACAGCTCATTTCATTTCCATACTATATATTAGTTTTGTTGTGCAATGTATATATGATTTATTTATCTGAAACTTTATGAGCCATACTATACTAATATATATTCCATACTATATCATTCATTAGATTTTCTATTGTCTGAAATATTTATGAGCTTTGAGGAAAACTGTGTCGCAAATATATCGTATATACATTTATATATTCTATTGATGTTTAGATGTTTTTATTTGATGGTAGAATTTTATTGATTTTTATGTCACGAGTCTAAGTTTGGTGGTGAACAAATAAAAATAGAACCCATGAGTTTCTTAATTGCTTCTACGATGATGAAGAAAATTTATTTAATACTTGAATTCATGTATGTGTATGATTGTACCCAGGAACTTTAATAATCTAAGACGCTTTGTATAATTTTGTGTTCTCTCTATTATATGTTCCATATTACCTTTTTTCTGTCACTCTGTATCTTTATCATTATAGCTGTACAAGTCATAAATAATGAGGCTTTTACGCAAAAAAAGCAGAGGTGTAAGAAATAACCGACTTTTAGCGCGTAAGGGGTCTAAAATGACAGTCCCAAGTACTGGTTCCATCAAACGCTCAGTTTCTTGTGCATTTAAGTCATTATCATGTTGTTTGGTTTCACATATTCATTGCACTACATCTAGTATCTATTCAAATTCTTTCTCATTTTCATTATTTTACAAAGTAAGTTCTAAAATGTTTTCAGCTCAAATTATTTTTCAAATTCTTCCACTTTACTATGCACTTCTGAGACCAAAACTAAATATTCAATAATAAACATATTCAATTCAGCTTTTGAACCATTTTTTTAAATGAAAATACCTTAAAAATATATCATGTTACGGATATATGCTAAAATACTTTTTATTCTCATTTTCAAACTGTCCAATTCACCCCCAGAATAAGATAATTAGCTAGTCATTATTACCGTAGCTTTGCTTATCAAATTATATTTTCTTCTCTGGAAGTGCTGATTTGTATTGGTATTCACTGTATATATGTATATAAATGGTTTACAATTGTAACAATTAATAATTATGTTCAACTTATTTCACTAATCTTTGAGTAAATTTACATATTGTACTTCTAATTCAATTACCAGTCAAGGATGTATATACATTCATTTAGTGGTGTTTGATATAGCTAACTCTAAATTGATTAAGAATAATAAAGCAACATTGTGTGATTTTATAGTGTTTTTTTTTGCTAGATTCTAAATTTGCAGTATATGGATTAAATTAGCAGTAGAGGTTACGCGAGACTGACTCCCAATCCTTCATCAATGCCTTTGCACTAGTGAATCTGTATGCGTATAATGCAAGGATGCTGTAGCAGGAATAAAAATACCCTACTATGCGATTCAAAGAGTCCTGCTGCATTCACAATTGTTGTAAACTGCTTGTCTGAGGAAGTCTGATTTTTTCTGAGGAAGTCTGATTTTTTTGGCACTAGTGAATCTGTATGCGTATAATGCAAGGATGCTGTAGCAGGAATAAAAATACCATACTATGCGATTCAAGAGTCTTGCTGCATTCACAATTGTTGTAAACTGCTTGTCTGAGGAAGTCTGATTTTGGTCAGACGAAACGCTACAGAAATACATTTGTGTTAGTGTATAGCAGGACTCTTGAATTGCATGGTATGATATAGATTATTATTGGAGTTTTGAGTGCGAGTACTGGATGATTCGAGATATTGCTTCAATTTCACATAAATATATTGTGTTGTGTAACTAGTTGGGTAAAGTAATTACAGTTGAAATCCCGAGCACAACCAGAACTTTACAACACTAAAGCTAATTTTGTGCAAGTTTATAGAAATGCAACCATCTTGGATTAATAAATTACTGTTGAGAAAAAGTTGAATAGTGCAGGTTACATTGTAAGGACATTTTCAAAGGGCATCAACCAACAACCATGGGGGTGGCCTCCTAACCTTGCATTTTCGCAGCCAGGAAAAGCCAATTGTGAAATCTACCATTTTTAACATACTGGGATAAGTTTTTTGCATTGATATAATCCTTCCCCACCCTCACAAACAACACAGCCCCATTTCAAATTATATATCAGGTCTAACTATTTCGTTGACGCACGCTTGGGATCTACGGCCGTATGCCCATCACCTATAAGAATAAGTTTATTTCAACTCCATAATCAGCATAATAGACGATAAAGTATTTGATAACACAAATAAAACTGATTATAGAATCGGGAGAGCAAACAAAACCACAAGTAAGGTTTGAACCGTACAGATTTTAGATGGAAAGGTATTGATAAGAGAAGTAGTGCATGTTTGCTCACCCAAAAGTATTAAAACTAATTAAGGCGCGCATGCACACACACACCGATATATGATAAGATCGGAAGAGCAAAAAGAGCGAGATATAAATTCAATTACTCAGTAAAAAAGAAAAATATGAAAACAGATAAATGAAAAAAAAATTTTTTGCCACACCATATAAATAATTTATGAGGATTGTCAAGTTGGATAACGAATTAGCCAACAGGAGTTATATACTGTGGAAGAAAAAACATTCTTCAAAGGATATCGTCAAGCTGATTATAGTTGGAGTCACCTAATGCCAAATTGCCCAATCAGATTTGCCAAGTTGGATAAAGACCAAGTTGGACCTCACCAAGGGTGTATTATAAATTGGGTAGGCATAGCAACCCCGAAACGATGTTGGCGTTCATATATAAAAGCTCCTTATATACAGGGTGGCCCAAAAGTAGGTATACAGTTATTAAACTATTTTATATGCTTTGAAGCTACTTGCAGTTCACTTTATATTACTTGTTATATACCACAAAAATCGCTTATTTTTTAGATAATAAATCTAGTGTGAATTTTACATTAGTTTTCTAGCTGCTTGGAAGGTAATGAAAAATAAATAAAATAACTGAATACCCTATTTTGGGCCACCCTGTTTATCAGCGTATGCCTGTACAAAGCCTTGTTTGAAGCAAATAGCATAATAATATATATTTTTTTATAGCATTCAAGCCTTAAGCACCATCACTGAAATCAACCAAGCTCTCACCATCCTTACATTTTAATCAATTTGATAGCTTAAGCAAAGAAAACACTGATCGGTGAATATATGACCAACGTAAGGCTTAAGCAAAGAAAACACGATTGATTAAACCACTGATCGGTGAATATATGACCAACGTAAGAGCTGCGAGTGCCATAGGTAATCTAACAAGCCCAAAATATCGATGACCCAGGTTGCTGAAATGGACAGTTCGATCAACGATTGCTACAAAACCAACAAAAGCAAAACGATTATTAAACGTTTGCCAATCCAGGTGAAGCAACTGCAATTAAATATATAACAGTTCAACGATACTTATAAACAGTCCACGATATGAACAATTTTGACACCCATACACACCGAATATGTGATGCGAATGGCAATAACAAATATAAAACAGCACCAGAAAACAGGTGCAAATTACTAATTTATTACCCTTTTGAACAAATAACAAGGTAATTGGACGCATGCAGAGCACAAAAATGCACTGCACGTGACGCCAAAATATAGGGCAAGAAAATGTAAACATTTAAAGTTTGAAATCCAATCCCAAAGACCGAGATTCGCATTAGATTGATCGTTTACAACGTAACACCTTATATGCTTCCATCCGATACCTAGAAGCCTTCTCAAATAAAATTGATTCACAGTCAATTTTTCAACATTGGAACGAAGTATTCAATGTATCAGAATATTGATAGATAGAAAATGAGAGAGAAGCAAAAGATAACAAGATATGATAATAGAGTCAAATATCCAAGATTAAAATATTACGTAATTCATTTTGAAATATACATGCGTTTTAGGAATATTGCCAGTCAGCACAAATTTAGGTTTTGAAATACCCAATACGGCACAACCATAATAATTACAATAAACCCAGCGCATAATGCGGTCGTGTGATTTTTGCATACTGCATTTCTCTATTCAAATTTAGAAGACTGAACGTTTCCAAATAAAAGTCTGATATTGTTGTATATTAGACCGATCTACTGATACTGCATGTGAGTAGAAGAAAGAAAGATGTTGCCAGAATCACCCATTTCGGGTTCCCTTGGAACTCAATCATGGATTTTGTTACACACAGCTCAAGCTGTCATAATTGCACATTTACATTTTTGCGAAGATCGCTACTTACAAATGTTGAAATAGGTATTTTGTCTTTGTCATTCAAACTGCATGATCGTCGTCTTTTTATGGGCTCATGTTTTACAGCATCACCACTCGGACGAAAACTATCAGGTAAAATTTGTGATTTCATTGAGATGTTTGAATTATTCTGATTCAATGCTGATGTATTGTAAGAATGTCTTCGTATCCTCTTTTTACATTTCATGTTTGCTTTTATGAATTCTAAATCTGACTTTACTTCCAGTTCTCTCTCCATTGTCTGTATTGATGTCAAAGTATCATATTTTAACGTAGGGTATCTTGGAAAACTGGAATTTCTTCTTCTGCTATGTGTTGAGGGCGTAGTATTCACTTTTGGCGTATAAGAATATTTTGTAGTTGGTAAGACTAGTAATGGAACGTTGAAAGATGTTTCATCACTTTCATATGATTGCTCGAAACCAGAATCAGTTAGTTTTGATTCATTTTTTAGATAGTTTGAGCGAAAAGAATTTATAACATCAATAGATATAGAAGAGATAGTCTCAATATCGCCATCATCTGATTTCTCGATATTGCAGTTTAACGATTCCTGCTCAGAGGTCAGGTCAAGTAATCTATCATCATTGATCACTACTTTTGGCAAATTTGATCGGTTTGGAGTTGATGTCATATTTGGTTTGGATTGAATTGTCTTATCGCTTTGGATTTTTGCAAGATCTTGAACTTGGAATTTCGAGTCTTTGCCAGTTCTATGAGATTTGAAATAATTGTTGTTATTTTGATCAAGCTCTGTTCGTGAAATCGAAACAAGTTCTACTACATCAACAGTGGAGCAAAGAAGATCACTAGGATATGGAACTGGTGCGCCAAATTTGTGTTGGTTGCTTGTGGTGTTTCCTAGTTCTTTCTCGGTAGTCTGCTCGGTCGTTGAGGTATCTGAAAAGCTAGTTCTTCTTGAGGATGACTGATAAATTTTCCTCATTCTGCCAGACTCCCAGTCGTTCGATAAGGACGATGGAAAATTAGCACTAGAAAATTCCACTAGTGGAGCACAGGCACCAAATTTTAATTCATCATTTGTACTATGAGAATCCATATTGCCAGGTAGAGTATTTGACATCATCAAAGTCATTTTGGATTGCTCACTAGTGACATCTAGTGGATATACATCGTCTCTCTGAGGTATGTTCAAGTCCTTCAATTTTGGATGAGCAGACCCAGTGAGGATGACCTCAGCATCTTCATTTCTCTTAAGCAACTGTTCAGAAGACACAGTGGTTATAATGTCAATAGCACCTCTTGGAGTAATACCTTTGGCATTGAACATATCTATATCTGACCTTTTAGAGAAGTCATTTACGCTCCATAGATGTGATCCAGAAGCGGTCAAATCCAACTTTGCACCATCCATATTTTTGTTTATTTTGCTACTTCCAATATTAGCGGTTTTTATATTGGTAAATTTTTTAGCACCAGTTGTACTAATATCAAAAACGGCAGGCATTGTATTGTCAGACCTATTACTGCTCTCTTTGGGACAATCAGCTCCATTAAGTCCAATGTTATTGATATGAGCACCATCAGACATTTTGCGACCAGTTAAATCGTCCTGAAGAAAATCTTCATTAATTTCAGGTTTTGGCAATTTTTCATCCAAAGACCATTCCTCTTTGTTGTCAGAAATTTCTGTCAATTTTGCAGTACCTCCTTCTTCACTGTCGTCAGATTCACTATCTAGTATGACACCTGTTGCAGGTTTGATCAACTCCGAACAAAATGACTTTTCGCTCTCAGAGTTGGTGAATTCAATGCATTTGTTCTCATTTGTGTGTTGGATACTTCTTAAAAGACTTGTTGAGGGAATGGCTTCCTGTATTTGTGCCATACGAGGGGGGGCAATACAATTTTTTACTAGTGTTAAATGGTTATGAGTGCTGACGTTAGTTATTGCCTCCATATTTTCATTTTGATTTAATGTTACCTCATTTGTTTGCATACCGACTGCACCCTTTTCGACATTAAAAATCAAGTTAGGGGTTGGCGGTTTCTCGAGTTTCGTGCATTTTGCTGTCCATCGAAATGAAGTCGGTGTGATTTGAGGTTCACAATGTTCTTCACCTACAGTTAATTTCAACTTGATTGTAATACCAAGAGGAAATGGTTCATTCTCTGTTTGTTTTCCCAAACAAAGTGGGAATACTCGTCGAACTTTTCTCTTGAAATTGGGTATTTTGATTTCATCCTCAGCCTTTTTTACTTTATCACCAACTATGCTGACAATTATTTTTGATTTCTCCCTGTAAAACACGAATTTGAATTGTTTTCAGAAAGGAAGACTAAAACCAAAAAATCGGATATAAAAAAGAAATCAAAATGGTAAGCACAGCAAATATGCACCACTCATGCCACACTAAGAGTATTTAAAATGGTGGCAAATTAACTTCTTTATTGTTAACCAAGGTGGGTAAAATACCCGATGGAAATTTGGAATAAACAAAACTTTTTTTTTATTACCGTAAACAGCCACCTTGTGTTGAGAGTATTTAGGCGGGAGCACAAATCCGGAAAAATTGAAGAACTGCTGCACCCAATCAAGAAAAGCTATCAATAACTAACCTGACTGAGATATTCTGAGTACTTATAACTGGTTCAAGAGTGTCAACCAGAGATTTGATTTCTTCTTGTATTTGGCGAGAAGTTTCTAAGTTATCACTGTAAACCCAAAGCTCGAAATTTTGTTGATTTGGGTCCTCGATATCCGTTGGCCTCTTGACGAAAAGGGTGTAATTCAAAGGAATAAGCAACGAGTCATAGTTTAGAGTTGAAACAACACGATACCTTGGAGAAAATGAAGGAGATGATTAGATAATCAGCAGAAAAGGATATTATTAATTTTAATGACCAGCTGTTATCCCAATAAGCTTTAACATTTTGCCGCATTTTGCAGGGGGAAAGAATAATTTACAGGAAATTAGTACAGCATCAATATGGATAAAGAAACACTGCCAGTGCATCTCTGCTTTGAATCAATTGGACATCTGTATTGACATGTTATGCAGACATGCCAACAGATATGCTTCCAAAACCTTGTTGGGAGTAAAATATGAATTATAAAAAGTTGTGATACAAACAAGAGTATCTCAAACCTGAATACCATCATCAAGTCGATGCATCCCCAACAAATAACTGGCTAAATAACCCGATCCCCAACATGAATTGGTAACTGAACAAGAGACCGTGGTTCGCATATAATCAAGTCATCTCGTCGGCTTTTCTCTCTTGAGGAAAAAATGAAAATCCCTTCTTTCTAAACAAGTATGCCAAATCAGAGTTGTGGAGTCATACAAGCAATACAGACATGCAAAAGGTGCTGCTGGTTCAGGAACTTGTAAAAAGTGAATTAATGCCTTCCCTGGGACAAATATAAAAAAAAAGTCACCATAAATTCTACACTATGCATGAGCTTACCCTCCAGGCTCCGAGCACAAAAATTCAATAAATTTGCCAGGATAGAATGGAACGGTTTCATAATATTCCCACTGGATTACAGAAATACTTTTTGTCTTCTGAACCTGAAATAATAATTTGAAAAAACTTAAAACAAAACCGATAGCTTTCTTGATAAAACTCATACATAGGGTAATTGAGAATTGAATGAATTCATAGACACAAATGGCTAAAATTGTACGATTGCTTTGTTTCAAAAACGGCAAATGCTGAAAAATTCCCCAAATCACCATTTCTGATTACTACTACATTCGAGTCCACACTCATAAACAACGTTGTGAACCTCATTGTAGTGTTTGTCCAATTTCTAAATATTTAGCTATCTTTTCTTTTACTTCTAGTTTGCATGTTTTTGTCAGATTCACATATGTATTTCCAATGATGTACATATGTATTCACATATGTATTTCACATGTGTAAAACCAATATGTGATATAAAACAAGAAATAAGCAAAATACATGCAATTTACAAAAAGGATATCAGCTAATTGCGCTTTGGGAGGGGTCACACAAGACTCAATGAGTCATCTATTCAGCAACCTTAGTAGCTGAATTAATGCAGTGAATATGGCAACAGAATTATTCTCTATTCAACATTTCCTCAAAAAATACAATGCATGGGTTTACACACTGGTCAATTTGACTGTAACCAATCATTTTGCATTTTTAACAGTTATTTTCCTTTTTTTCTTAATTAAAAAAAAATTGAACATACCGTCACATCAACAATTTTATGCCGATCCGTGTTAATGAGTTTGGCATCCAGCTTAACATGTAACGGCGGGTCAAAATGAATAGGACTGCCCAGGCTCCATATATGAAGAGCAGCAGTAAGAAATATCAATTCATTTTCACCTCTGCGTTGTTTCTAAAACAGATAAAAAGTTGAATTGTTCGTCTTTTTTTAAGTTCATTATATTTATGATGATCACATAAGTAACAATGAAGGAATTTATAAATAAAGCAGAAAAATAGATTGCCGGGGTAGCCTTCGGTATACATTCCATTGTAATCTACAGAAATTTGCATGTCAATTTATTTTGGTTTAAAAACCGAACAAACCAGATGTCAAGTAAGATCAAAAATAATATCTTGAAACCTTTTAGTTAGACAATTATTAGCAATAATATTTCCACTGGATGTAGACCACTAACAACACCAGAGACATGCACATAGATCACATATCACACAAGCACTCACTTTGGTAATATCATCACAGGTTCAGTACAGGCTCACCAAAGTCCACCCAGAAAATCCACCAGAAAAGGAGGTCATAATAAATATGTAGTAGGTTGCAGAAACCAAAAGAAAATTTAATAACAAATAAAAGTAATAGCCATTTAATAAAGTGTCTCATCTACGAGTGATTTGACAGCAATTGTTCTAGTACATATAAGGAACAAAATCTCAATAATAATTTAACAAAAACTTTCAAGTCCCATTTAAAAACTTTCTAATCATGTTTTTTATTATGCATGACTAGTAGTATTTGGTATGAGTATGTAGATTGTTCTGGAATGAAAACCTTTCGTTGCATTCTCTCTGTGAAAGATCATAATGCGCAGTCTTATTGCTGGACTTTTAGTGCCCACGGGAAGGTGCATGTAATCTCTAGTTGCCACAACTTCCACCAAGTCCATACATCTGGTAAAATTAACTACGGGAGGTAACATTTAACATAACCAACTTGGACTGATAACTAGGGCTGTCCAAAATCGAATAATTTTTTGATTCGAATCGAATCGAATATTTTTGCCGAATCGAACCGAATAATCGAATATTATTGCGCAATATTAAATCTATCGCTATTATACAATAAACGCCTGCCCTTCGATGTTGTGGTAACGTATGTGCAGTTACATCTTACTTACTGCTGGTATTTTGCAATACAATGTTTTCAGATTTATGAAAGGAGATCACACGCTTGTATGAACTGGTCAAAAAATAGGAGGACTCCAAAATTTGGGTCTCGAAAACTGTTGAGTGTTAAGAGTAAAAATTGCACTATTCAAAAATTGCAATCTCAATTTTGATGGATTCAGTTTTATTAGGACATGTTAAGCCTGTAGATGCTATTTTAATCCTATTCACTAGTCTATGTTTTTTTGTGTAAATTTCAGCAAAATAATAACAGCCATCAATATAGATAAAACTGTTGCTAAAGTTCAAAATTGCATTTAAAATTACCAAGCTAGTTTGATGACAATATTATTTGACGACTATAATATTGTTAGTGTACAACAGCCATCAAAATGCAAGAGTGCAATTATTTGTCTTGGTATATAGATGGATAATACAGTAATGCCATCATAAGAAATTACAAATTCCATCCAAAGAAGGTATTGCCATCATAAGGATCCCAAAACACCTGTTTCAGCTTTGAGTTGCCTGTACCATGTTCCTATGATAACTAACTCAACAGCTTCAAATAGATTCTATTTATAGAACTATCGTTTTCTAAATTGTCTCCTTTTTCTCCTTGTTCTCTCTCAAAAACGTCATGACCAATTATACCTTGTTATGATGACCATGCATGAAATGGCTAATCACGTGCCACCGGGCGGGCATTAGTAATGACATGTTTATCACAAAATGAAGGCGAGAGAAATATCGGGAAACCAATTATGCCGGGAGCGAGAGTGGTCTGAGCTCGGAGCGCCGCGGCTTGCCCGATGAAAAACATCCCGTAAAGGTGGTTTCCACTTTATGTACAGGTACCTAATTTTAGCGATTCGAAAATTAGCCGAAAAACGATTCGAATAATTTGCGATTCGATTCGATTTCGAATATTTGGTTCGCTTGGACAGCCCTACTGATAACCAGACAACAGGTTACCATCCGTCATTTGATAAAGTCTTACCGGCTTCCTTTACCTCAAATAATGAAAACACAACCATATGACTTTCCTCTCCCCCGGGATAAATATGTAAATCATATTCTATCCTATATACATAATAAGCACCCACGGCTCTAAGATGTTATTCTGCTGATTTCTCAAAAATGTTGTGTGTACAAGTAAGACAAGCGCAAGTCCTAATATTTAAAAAAAAATAATTATTATTTTTAAATTCATTTAAACTTTTCATTATTGCTAAATGTAAAATATTAATATCAATGCACAGTAAAGCAAGATATGATATTTGAGTCAGGTGGAAATATAAACTTTTTGATCCTTTTGATTCCTGCTATCACTATGATGTGGTATGGTTTACTTAACATACAAGGCTTAAAAAGGGAAGTAGTTTGTTACATGCTAATCCAATAAGACATTGTTAAATTTCACTATGCTCATCCACAAACCAAATCTAACAAAGAAACAAGAAAATCACAACCTATATGCACAGATGCATGTCGGTTTGTACTGTCGTTTTAGTTGAGTGATTAAGATGTGTCATAAATAGGAGGCGTGTCTAAGCGAACAACCCTTTATGACCAATAACTCAACTTTATAATAAGTGGAAAATTACAGTAAAATTTCCACAAGATTGGGACAGGAAATTGGTGTCGAATTACATCACTCTCATACATCGTCTAGGCCAAAACGCACCTTCATGATCAAATAAACACTGCTGTATGATCAAAGTCCGAAGTTACAGTTTTCATCGCGGATTCATATTAAATGTTCAACAACGAGCTAAATAAGGATTGCCAGCCATATTAATATTAAGGTATGTACGGTAATCATAATAACCACACACAATTGACTGAAAAAATGCTACCTCGAGCATACATTCTCAAAGTGCTCCATACAAAGCCCCAGGGCTCTGTGAGAGAAACCTAGAGGCTCCGCGAGCTATTCTTTACTTATTAAAATACCGACTTGGCTAATTTTGAGACTATTCAAAGAAGCAATAATGGCATTAACAATATTTGACAATGGTAGCATCGAAAGTTTGCAACAACGCGGCAATTCAAATATGACATTATCTATCAGTTTCAATAGATAACGCCATATTTCAGTTACCACCTTGCTGCCATAATTCAACGCTCTTGATATGTTTGTCAAATTTACAACTTTAATATAGTTTATCTGTGAAATTTAGATTTATTTGTAGCTTGTATTAAATACAAAGTAGCAAATACATCAGGGTTATTAAATAAAGTGATTTTAAGTTACTCAGCAACATTAAACGATGAGTAACAATGTATTTTTTCGTTTTCATTTGTATAAATTATTGTGGGGCTTCATAAATAATAGTCAACCACGGGCTTCATAACACTAAAAGTTTAAGAACCCCTGACCTAGAAAAACATTAAATACTTTTCATAACAAACTCATCAAATTTTGACCAGTTGCCTTTTAGGAACAGAGATGTTTACAAATACGTTACAGGATATATATAATCTTAGCCTTCACACTATTGTGACTTAACTTGGGGAAAGGCCATGGAACAATATTTTGTGGGTACGATGGCCTTGTAGTAGCATTGGTACTCCCATAGTATGTGTCAATTTGGTTCAGGCCATAATTTTATTCCAATTTTCCTTTTTTTAGTTCTTTTATGAGTTTGGGAACTAGCCATGTGACTCCTGTAGTATTTGTACCTGAAACTATGGCCTAACCCTAACCTGGTACACATACTACGTTTTAGTGTCTGCCATCTTGGTTCACATACTACAGAGTACTGTAGCACTGGCTTTAACTAAGTTGGCATCAAAGGTTAGATATCTCAGCTTCAGATCCCATACTCACCACCTCACCCAGGGTGTAGCAAATTGAGTAGGCAATTTTGAATCTGGAAGCTCCCGATACTCCCAGAAAATTTTGCACCTTACGTATCAGTGGTCAGTGGCCTTACAGAGCCTTTTCACAGAGTAAAATCAGTGACAAATGTGATATAAAACGAAATGTTTGCTACCAACCTGTCTATTACAAATAGCAATATTCAACTTCATATCCTCTTCTCTCGAGTCACTGGATGGAATATTAATGCGACATGTAGGAAGATTGATTTTGCCTCCTCTCCTTAGAACTGTTCCAAACACATGACCAGGTTTCAGGTATTCAACATCTATTTTGTGCAACTTCGGAGACTGTGGAATGCGGCATAATTGTTGGTTGATTCTTGTTTTGCTTTGCCGTTTTTGTTTTATTTTTTCTTTCACCTGGTTTGGAATTTTCCAAATTAATCATGAATCTTTAAACTACTTATAAAATATTCTTGGTGTGCAAAGTAATTTGGGCAAACAACAAAACGATCCATAGGTCCACTTTATGTCAAGTAAGCAAACAGATTTTAAAAATATGACCCGTCCAAATGAACCTGATTTTTGGGGCATCCTGCTCAGTGTTACAATGGGCTAAACATCACAACTTCGTGTACCCTCCATGAAAATTATATACAAGAAGTTTCCTGTATGTGTTTCTGTATGTAATGGCATATTTATTACAACCATCCAAAGCCATGCATATGGAAATAATGAATAATTAGTAAAGTATTCCCCCACTCTATCTGAACTCGAGAAAGGACAAGGCACCATGGTTCACCATATTATTTAGTCCTTACATCGACATCCCTCTCTCATATAATGAATACGAAATCCTTATTCTTGCCATACTTACCGGTACATGATTTCCTTCTCCAGCACTACTCGATATGTCACCAAACTCTCCCCCACTGCTGGTCTTTGACGAGCGACGTTTACATGGGACTGTTAATGAAGCATATATTACATATGGTCAACTTTGATATTAAGCCTATCCTTTAGTCTATCTTATCGCACACAGAATGCACACAGAATATTGTTTAACTTCAAACCTCCAAGATATTTGAATGATGTAGATGGTTGTCCTTGGATTTCATTTCTCCATGTTGCATCCTGAGATTTTGTAGCAATAACTTTCTGCATGACATCAGGAAGTTTTTCAACAGGGCCATTTTGTGTTGTTTTTTCTGGAACTGTGAGAAAAAAAGTTAGCTATTTTGCTCCGAGAAATATAAAAGTGTATTCAATATTAAATGCAGTTAATTCCATATAGACTGGGAGACGACAATGCAATAAAATGCTAATGAAATCAGCCACAACCGAATTCAGCTGAAATTTCCTGTGGTGAATTTTCCGGAAACGATATATATATTAAAAAGATGTTTATGTGACTGTATTCGATTTTTAGCATTCCAAAATGATCTCCATGCCCCTTGCAGTAATTTATAATGGTGTCTCATAAAATTTCAAGTTTTTCTTGAAGCCTCTGACATATTAGATTTGGCCACATGTGAACATCTTAAGCGGAGGTTTCATGTACTGATCTTAATCCATGTGTATCTAGCAGCAATTTAGCAACTGGATTAGTGTAACAATATTCTGGCCGATCACACACTATCGATTTGAATGCAAGAATAAGGTGCAACAATATACAAGTGGACAAGAACAAAAATAAAAATCATTAAATGAGGAACGCATAGAAAAGCAAACGCAAAAATACAAGACACACATGAGATTTAGTAATAGGTGAAAATTATTCTGACATGAACTACAAGATGACCCCTCCCACCACTTGAATTGAAGAAATTTATTTTACGCTCAAAATCCTGTTTGTGGCTGTACCCAATAGGTATATTAATCTACGACTTTTTTCACATCATATCTCTAGAATGTGTTCCAAATGCCCTGGTTTCTGCTATTTATTTTTTTCCCTGGGGGGGTAACGCTTTATTCTATCATATCGAACATAGAATGCATACTTTATTCTATCATATCGAACATAGAATGCATACACAATATTGTGTAATTTCAAACCTCCAAGATACTTGGATGATGTAGATGGTTGTTCTTGAATTTCTTTTCTTCTTGTTGCATCTGGGAATTTTGTACTGTTTACATTTTTCTTGACTTCAGGAAGTTTCTCAACAGGACCATTTGGTGTCGCTTTATCTTGAGCTGTGAGAGAGAGAGAGAAAACATAATGATGATATCACAAATATATAATAAAACAATGCATAATGCAGTTTTCGGTATAGGACTGGGTGATAACGATACGACCAAAAACGGGCATCTGAGTCAGTTACCACCCAATTCAAATACTTGAATAAATGGCGCGGCGGTGTGGCTCAACGGGCACACGCTCGCCACCGCACCTCTAATTACTCTGCGTGGGTTCGCAGGTTCGAATCCCATGCAGGGATGGTTATGTGCGAGAGGATTGCTGGACTCCTCGCCGTCGTTGGGTGGTTCACGTAACCGCTGGTCAGTTACGGCTTCATCCACCACCAAGTCCATGCTTCCGAAAAAACAAACAATATAACTAATCCCATACCCGACTTGGAATGGCAACCGGACGAGAGGCTGTGGTTCGCCATATGGATAAGCCGTCTTATCGGCTTTCCTCTCCCCCGGGATAATATGTAAATCCTATCCTAAATTGAAAGGGGTTCTGTTACAATATCAACTCTCAGTATATGTAAATATATATATATATTTATAAACTATATACATTATATACAGAAATAATCTGATTAGAACAAGGATAGGGAATTAACCAAATAAATTTTCAAATTCATTGAATTCATTTTTGTGGATGTAAATTTGGTATATAGGATTAAATAAAATTAAATATTCATTAGGAAAACCACCAACAATAAATACGAAGAAAAAGAGGATTTTAGGTTGATACATTTTTCAAGTCTAGAAATATATATTGTACGCATGACAGTAAAAAACAGTATTTATTCCTCATTTTTGATTGAATAGAGATTACATCAATTTGATAGTAAGAGAAAGTTTATTATGGAAAATGCAAATGACTATTCAATAATAAATAAAGTATAATGCAGTTGCTATCAGTATCAAATTGGAGATGCCAATATAACCAAATGCCATGCTACTATCAGCCTAATAACTCATGAGGGTAGCAAATAAGGGGTGTCTAAACAATTGGATCATATTAGATGGATGCTAAGATATCTGAGATCAGCCTTTAGCTGAATTGATTGGAATAGGATTGCATTGGAATGAAATAGATATTGTTATATAATGATGGTATATAAAAAATACCATCATTTTTAAATAAACTCCAACAATTTAGACAAAGATTAAACATAATACTTGAGTAATAACCACCTTTATGATTTTTTTTGTCATTTGTCTTGTTAACTGGCGAAGATGAGATCGTGCTTGGTTTGGACAGTGGTTTCTGTGGACTTGTCTTCTGAATGAAACATTCACATTTTTTCAAAACTTTTTTAGAGATTTAGGGTTTGATTACCTATTTTAAATTAATAACATATTGTTAAGAAGAAAAACAAATTATTTAAAGAAAAACCATAAATCTCAATATTGAATAAAAAAAAACAATATTGTGAGTAGGGCTGTCCAAGCGAACCATATATTCGAAATCGAATCGAATCGCAAATTATTCGAATCGTTTTTCGGCTAATTTTCGAATCGCTAAAATTAGGTACCTGTACATAAAGCGGAAACCACCTTTACGGGATGTTTTTCATCGGGCAAGCGGCGGCGCTCCGAGCTCAGACCACTCTCTCTCCCGGCTTAATTGGTTTCCCGATATTTCTCTCGCCTTCATTTTGTGATAAACATGTCATTACTAATGCCCGCCCGGTGTCACGTGATTAGCCATTTCATGCATGGTCATCATAACGAGGTATAATCGGTCATGACGTTTTTGAGAGAGAACAAGGAGACAATTTAGAAAACGATAGTTCTATAAATAGAATCGATTTGAAGCTGTTGAGTTAGTTATCATAGGAACATGGTACAGGCAACTCAAAGCTGAAACAGGTGTTTTGGGATCCTTATGATGGCAATACCTTCTTTGAATGGAATTTGTAATTTCTTATGATGGCATTACTTTATTATCCATCTATATACCAAGACAAATAATTGCACTCTTGCATTTTGATGGCTGTTGTACAATAACAATATTATAGTCGTCAAATAATATTGTCATCAAACTAGCCTGGAAATTTTAAATGCAATTTTGAACTTTAGCAACAGTTTTATCTATATTGATGGCTGTTATTATTTTGCTGAAATTTACACAAAAAAACATAAGACTAGTGAATAGGATTAAAATAGCATCTACAGGCTTAACATGTCCTATTAAAACTGAATCCATCAAAATTGAGATTGCAATTTTTGAATAGTGCAATTTTTACTCTTAACACTCTACAGTTTTCGAGACCCAAATTTTGGAGTCCTCCAATTTTTTGACCAGTTCATACAAGCGTGTGATCTCCTTTCATAAATCTGAAAATATTGTATTACAAAATACCAGCAGTAAGTAAGATGTAACTGCACATACATTACCACAACATCGAAGGGCAGGCGTTTATTGTATAATAGAGATAGATTTAATATTGCGCAATAATATTAGATTATTCGATTCGATTCGGCGAAAATATTCGATTCGAATCAAAAAATTATTCGATTTTGGACAGCCCTAATTGTGAGTGTACTGTGTAGTATCTGTGATAACACAGTGGCTCATTATTATTATAACCTTAGGGTGCCCATTACCAGTGTATAAGAGGCTTCGGTCATTGACTTGACTCGAGTTGGACTTTAATATCAATCAAAAAATACCTATTATGAGATACAGACAACCCTGATGTTAAATGGAATAGTAATTAAATGAAAGATATCTAGTAATGATCTCTAATAATTGACATTAATTGGCTAATTCGCAAAATTCATATGATATTTACCATCAATATCAGTAATTTTGAAACTCTCCTCCCCAATCTGTCAAATTAGATATTAGAACCTTGGGTGTCGCTGCTCGATAACCAGATTTTGTTCCCCGCGGCTCCCCTTTCCCAGTAATGTAAAAATCATTTTTTCCTTATTTTTTAGATGATTTTTGACTTTAACAGTTGGGAAAAATAAACTTGACTTGGAAAGATATAATCTGAGTATTGGGCTTCCCGAATGACCCGTTCAGAGAGAGAGAGAGCACTTGAAACTCTCATTAATTAGGAATTCTTACCTTCGCTATGTTCAATTTGGAATTTGTCTCTTGACTTCTGAAATTTTTAAAGAAACAGAAAATAGTTTATACACAGATTTTTGAAGGGTTCATAAAATGATGAAAGAGGAGATAATGAAAAAACATTAATAAATACAACAAAAAAACATTTTGCATTTTAAGAAAAAAATATATCTAATGCAAGGGTACTCAACTTAAAAGTAAAATTGACCTCCATTGGGGTAAACTTGGAAAAGTAAATGGTCAAATGTGGGAGCTGAGTAAATAGCAGATAGCTGCATCTTCTGTTACACAATTTATGATATTATTATACTTCTTCTACTGCAGAGATACTGCCATGCCTAGCACCATTTTCATATTTCACTCACAGCACACTATAACAGCCAGTATACACAGTTGAGATGTCTGAACTGTGCCAAGAGGGAAATGAGAGAATAAAGGTTGGAAACCACTTTTCTAATGCTGCTGTTGTCAGATTATATTCACAGAACTCATAGTACAGATAGGATTAGATAGAATCACCTCTGCATATGTGTAATAGGGTGACCGTACATTTGAACCCACGTACATTTGAACCCATGTGTATATCCACGGGTTCAATCTATATGCGGGTGCTAAAACCCATGGGTTGGGGTTAGTATGGGTTTAACTATCCGTGAAACAAAAAAAAATCCATAGGTGCAATAGCATACAGGTGCAATTGTCATGGGTTCAAATGTACGTGGGTTCAAATGTGATGGAACCGTGTAATAGAAATGGGGACGAAGTAAGGACTGGCATATGGATAGTAAATATTCTATTGTACTAAACTTTGTTGGTTTCTTGGGTCAGAAATATACATTGTTCAAACTTTACCAAACCCGGAATAGTAAATTGGATAAAGTATGGCACACAAGAAAAATTCTGACACAAAATATTTTTGTATGTATTAGTAGATGCTTTCGATTGACAATAAAAATTTTGTCTAATAAATTTTGTGTCCCACTTTTCCCACATGTTTCCTAATTGCCCCAATTGCTTTTCATATGAATACTTTCCCCTTCTGCCAAATTTTTATATCTATCCTAACCATGGACACACCATAAATTCCACTCTATATGCTTACTTCAACAAGAAGTTCTATAATATATCTACTTTCCAAAATTACTTCAACTATTCGTCAAATAATATATATCTACAAGTGTGCTTAAAAAGGACAAGAGTAGGACAAGCAAGACAAAACATTTTTTTGGCACCTGTAGATATTATAAACCATCTTACCTTCTTTTAAAAATCTTATTGCACAAAAGATAGAGGACAAAAATGACTGCAATTGTAAAAAGTGCAATAGTCACAAGTGCAAGGATGGATTCGAATGGAAACATTTTATAAATATGAATAAAAAACATAAATACTATATATATTTATATATATATATACTTTATTTATATAAAAACAAAAACATCTGCAATGCAAAAGTGAAAGAAAAAGATCATTTTGTTCTATCTCAAAATGGTCAGGTCAAATTTAATAGCACAAAACTAAGTAAATGAATATGGCTTAAGAGAATCAATTAGGTAACAAATTCAATCTACTTGGGCTTTACTACGAACGATGAAAATATGGGTATTATCTTGTTATTTCCCACCAATATTTTAGGTTAGCTTAGGCCTCATTTTTTGATGATCAACTAAGAAATCTAACTGAATCTAATCAGAATCATAGCAAAAAGTTCAGCATTATAGTGAATAACAGGATATTGCTAAATTTCAAATTATTCTCAACTAATTTACTTTTTGTACATAACTCACTACACTACTAACAGTGGTGGCATTCAAAATTTAAAAACAGATTTTTTTTTGTAACAAACTCACTAACAGCGAGTTACCCCATTTTAAAAAAACCATGCCAAACTATAGCTCTAATACCAAGATGGGTTTCTTTAATTACCACCACATTCCAAGAAGGAAGGCGTTTGCGTGAACCAACTGAATCCAACCACTGACTACTAATTTTATTCACACCCAAGCTGTAGAAGCTAAGTTTTCATTAGCTTCCATTAAAATTTCAAGTGGAATGTTGTAAAACTTTTTTAAATTGTCGCCTCATTGGTGCCACACCATGCATATCAAAGAACACGGTGTATAAATTGTAACCTGAAATTTATAATAGAAACTAGCAACTGTCAATTAGGCGTAAAACACATGTAATTAAACCATCATTCGTTGATACATCACAGTTCTATCTCGTTATAAATTATCATACGACTTTATATCCATTCTCCCAAGAGACTTCGAGTCCGGTCGAGACGGTCGAGTCCGATTCGTCAGACTAAGACAATTTTATTGCGTTATTTCTAGAATTCTATATTCGTAACAACGAAGCAGCAATCGCCTTTGCTAACAAGTCACTACATAAATATGATTACCGTATCATACTAAACCATTTATGCGACTCAGGGAGTCATTTCATTGTATTGTTGTCCTATTACTTCCCTTGGAAATACCCCATTGTCTGCGCAGACGGCACACTTACACACACACGGCGCGGCGGTGTGGCTCAACGGGCTAAGCGTTAGGAGAATGCCCCCCCCCCCTCTAATTACTCTGCATGGGTTCGCAGGTTCGAATCCCATGCAGGGATGGTTATGTTCGAGAGGATTGCTGGACTTTTCGCCGTCATTGGGTGGTTCACGTAACCGCTGGTCGGTTACGGCTTCCTCCACCACCAAGTCTATGCTTCCGAAAACAAACAATATAACTAATCCCATACCCGACTTGGAATGGTAACCGGACGAGAGGCCGTGGTTCGCCATATGGATAAGCCGTCTTATCGGCTTTCCTCTCCCCCGGGATAAATATGTAAATCCTATCCTATTCTACCTTGTCATAAAGATACGCTTCAAATTTGCGTCTACGAGAAAACTGTTGAAAAAATCACCAAATATAGATACTAAGAACTTGAACATGTTTCAATTGCGGCAATAAGGGTTTTATCAACTATATCATATTAGTTCAATAGTCCACAGTCAAAAGATTATAAATAGCATATATCATAGAAGCACATAAAAAGTGACTGAAAGTCTTTAAATTAACGAATAAGAATAATTGGTAAAATTAGACGATGCAATACACCTCTTCATTTCGTTTTATGATTCGATGATTCATGTTTATGAATATTATGGTAGCCCTGCGTCAATAGACAGCAAGTGTAACAAGTATCACCATACTGGAAATACACTTTATACGAACAATATGATAAAAAAACGTAAATAAAGCATTTCAGCGTGAAGAGAGGCGTCATATAGTAGGCCTACATTTTTGTTATTTAACAAACCAAATCGACACGTGATAATTGCAGTTATAATGAAATTCAAAGGAGTATTATACAATATCGACTTCTGAATTTCGCGCCTAAATAAATATCCCTCTCTATCGTTTATTTACCGTTATCGAATCGCTCGCCAATCGTTCAAATTTACTATGATATGTGCTTGTTTTATTCATATTGTTGACAAATGGAGTTTTGCGATCCGTCGGAATTGGGCTTGAGAAAAACGAACAAACGAGCATAATTGACGATAGGTCGAACCCGGAATACACATTATATACCTACATATGAAATAAGTAATCAGTACTCCATTATTTCACCATACTGAAATTACACTTTGCACGAACAATATGATAAAAAAAACACGTAAATATAGCACTTCAGGGTGATAATCCAAGCGATAAACCAATACCGGTTAACCGGCAACGACACCCGTGATTAAGTCTCATAGTTAAAAAAAAAAATAACAAATGAATAGCAATGTTTTTAATAAATGGTTGATGATACATGTTTATGAATATTATGGCAGACTTGTGTCAACAGTTTACAAGCAAGTAAGTGCATGTTAGACATGCCTTACACTGTAGTTATGCATTTGGGTTATTTGACAAATCAAATCGACACTTGATAATTGCAGTTCTAATAAAATTCAAGAGACGACTTTTGAATTTCGCGCCTAAATAAATATCCCTCTCTATCGTTTGTTTACCAATCTCGAATCGCTCGTTAATCGTTCAAATTTACTACGATATGTGCTTACTTTATAGGCCTGCGAAATGAAGTTTTGCGACCCGGGGGCTTTGAGTTTTGGAAACGAACAAACGAGCATATTTGAAGATAGGTCGAACCTGGAATACACACTACACACATACATATACATAATCAGAGAAAAACGAACAAACGAGCATATTTGACGATAGGTCGAACCCGGAATACACATTATATACATATTATATACATACATTCTATTTTTTCACCATACTGAAAAACACTTTGCCCGAACAATATGATGAAAAAACGTAAATATGGCATTTCCGAGTGATAAACCGATACTAGTTAACGATCAGCGACATCTGTGATTAATTTCATATAAAATAAGATAGCAGTATAAAAATACCAAATAAACAAATGTTTTTGATGAATGACCAGTCGGTAACTTACGATACGAGGAAGGAATTTAGTGATATTAACGCGGTTAAAAGACGATCGAAAAATATAATTCTCTCAGAGCGATATTTATTCCCAAACTTATTTGAAACCATGAAGTATTATAAACGCCATATGCGTGCAGATTCGTGTTTTTTACATGAATTTTAACAACGCCGTGTACCAGGAATCGCCTCAGTCACGACATGAGTGTTTCGTTTGCTCAAACTACTCGATGATCAGTAATCAGTAATTTATTTTTTCACCATGCTGAAAAATACGAATTCTACATACACAATTTAAGAGAAATATATAAAAAAAAATCGCATTTCAGGGTGAAGGGAGACGCCGAAAACCAAAGCTGGTTATCGAGCGGCGACACCGTTGAGAAAGTCTAACAAAACGTGATCAATACAATAAAGTCGACCAAAATATGTTATTCAATAAGTAAAATAAAAGAGCAATAGGTGCGTCAAGGCGACCTGGTGAAACCAAGCAGTCGCCGGAACGACATAACATCAAGTTTGTCATTGATGGAGACTTTGATTACATATATATTACCTACAGCAGTGGTTCACAAACTTTTTTTATAATTTTTCAAGTCCCGCGCTCCATTTTAAAAATAACTAGCTAACAATAAGCTACAAATAACAGATAGTAAGGCGAAAGTATGTTTCATTCAAAAAACAAGTTGAAAATACGTGGATGGAATCGCAATCTATAAACAATAAAAAATGTAAATATCCAAAACAAGGCGGGCAAGATCAAATCTGACAGTTTTATTATTAATTAACTTCACGCCCTCTCAAAATTGTCTACGCCCCCCTTGTGTGGCGCGCCCCACCGTTAGAGAACCACTAAGATACATTCTTCGGTGCTCCCGAAGTATGCGAACCAAGATAGCGGACATCGGAACGTAACATGGGTAACAGGTTAGGGTTAGGCGTTAATTTTTTTCCAATTTTCCTTATTTTAGTCCTATAATCAGTTCGAAGACTAGCCAAGAGCCTCCCGTAGTATTTATACCTAAAATTATGGCCTAACCCTAACCTAGTACACATATTACATTCCGATGTCCGCCATCTTGGTTCGCATACTTCGGGAGCCCCATTCTTCTTTTCCACGACAAAATATAATTTTGCCCCATTCAAAAGAAAGGTTCGCCATCCCTGCTATAACCTAAGGTTTATCTCGAATCGCCTGCTAATCGTGCAAATTTACTACGATATGCGCTTCCCCCATACGGTTGCGAAATGGAGTTTTGCGACCAGCCGGAATTGGGCTTGAGAAAAACGAACAAAGGAGCATATTTGACGAACCGGGAATACACATTATACAAATACATATAAAATGAGTAATCAGTACTCTAATTTCACCATACTGAAAATACACTTTGTACAACAATATGACGAAAAAAACGTAAATATGGCATTTCATGGTGATAAACCAAGCGATAAACTAATACCGGTTAACGGGCAGCGACACCTGTAATTAAGTTTCACAGTAATGAATGGAAAGAAAAAAATATAAAAATAGCAATGTTTTCAAATGTTGTCACCACATGAGTGCTGCGTTTGTTGAGCTCAAACTACTCGAGAAAAAGGTGTAACAGCAAGTTTGTCATTGATGAAAACTTCGATTTAAATATCTATTACCTACAGTCTTCTTTTCCACGATACAATATAATTTTTGACCCATTCAAAAGAAAGGTTTTCATATGTATTCCGTAGTAAAAAAGGCAATAAAACGCTTTAATCGTGTGGCCCTCTAGTACAGTTTGCAATCCACCTGATACCACTTGGATTTGATGATTTTGCTAAGCCGTAACCGACCAGCGGCCACGTGATCCACACTGACTATATTGAGAGTTGGGGCAATGGACGAAGAGTTTGAACATTTCATTTGGCATAACAATTTTCAGTTGTTTGATAACTTATTAAATTTCAGCAATTGATAGGTTTTAATAATTCTCACA